AGGGAAAAGAAAATCCTCCCAGAACATATCAACAACCCGGACACCCACAACCAACACCACCCGAACACCCCTCACCTACACCAATAAACAGAAAAATAAACCAACACTACTTACTGGCAGACGACGGCGGCAGAAGGGAACCAAGAGAACCACCAATACGAAGCCTCGCTTGTAAGAAGCAGCCAAGCCAGCTCAACCAGCCCGGAAAGACCTGGCGGGAACAGGAGACGACAACTCGACCGACCCCGGTAAACCGGGTGGGAGTTGCAGCGAGAGGCCTGGCTCACCCTTCCAGGCGGTTCCATCGAGACGGACAGGAGCAACAAGGATCCCGTCCAAATCTGCCGAAGACCATGCCACGACTGAGCTGCGCAGGTCAAGTAGACACCTTAAATGCCCCGCCTGCTTAGGGGACTACGTAATGTAGGTTGGGCTGAACCAAGAGGGGAGGAGTGTTCCCGCCATGTATTAATCAATCCATTCATACATCCCATTCACTTTCTCCTCCCTCCCTGTCTTTTTTTCTTTCCCTTCCTTCCACCTCTCCCTTTCTTTGTCTATCCCTTTTCTTCCTTTTGCTTCCTTTCTCTTTTTTCTTTCTCTTTTCTTTCTTGTCTCGCTCTCTCTCACTTCCTCTCATTCCCTCTTTTTCTCTTCCCCCCCTTTTCTCTCTCTTCCCCCTCCCCTTTCTCTCTCTCTCTCTCTCTCTCTCTCTCTCTGTTCTCTCTCCCTATTTTCCCTTCTCTCCCCCCTGCCCCACTATCTGTCTGTCTGTCTGTCTGTCTCTCTTTCTCTCAAAGCCACAGGTGGCCCAAGCCAGCAAGCTCTCCTTGGTGCTCTTCGCTACTTCTTTCAGTTCTTCTTTTGGGAATCCAGATTGGCTGAACAATGATCGCCAGCTGTGGTGGAAGCGTCCCTTCTGGTGACCCTCCTCCTCCTCTTCTTCCTCCTCTCATGACCGGGGGCTGTGGTGGAGCTGGGACAGTGCACATGCACGAGGAGGTCCTCAAGCGTGCAACTGCCCACCCTGTGCCCAGTTTTGCTGTGCTTTGGCACTTGCTTGAGGAGCATCTCCCCTCGCATGTGCACACTTTTGGCCTCGCCACAGCTGCTGGTTGCGAGAAGAGGAAGAGGAGGAGGAGAAGGGTCATCGGAAGAGACGCTTCCACCGCAGCTGGCAATCAGAGCTGTCATTGGATGCAAGCCGCTGGTAATCCCTATAAGAAGGGCTGCCGCGGCTCGCAGGTCCAGCACAGATCTATATACCAAATAAAGAGCTGAACTGTCACATTGGTCTCAAGTCTCTTTTTCCCGTGATCGAACACCGACCACTGCAGGACCCTCCACCTCCTTCCCCAACTTCTTCAACTTCGAAATGGTGCCTGTTGCCAACATGGGTGCGGCCAGGTGGCATGGTGGGGCCAACCAGGGGCGATTGTTCTGGGTCCAACAAAGGGGCTGAGGACAGGAGAGGGAAGGGGTGGCAGGCAAAGGGGCCATGTGGGCAGCAAAGTGTCACCCACCCCCATTGTTGCCTCCCGCCGGCAAGACCCAGCAGCTGCAGTGAATCCAAGTTAAATTTCACTGTACTGGAGTACATGTTGAGAGGCTCGTGTTCTCCTGCTGCTGGGAGAGCAAGAGAGTCTTTCCTGGCACAGCGAAAAGTTTGCAAGTTCCCCTCCAATAGGGAAACAGGTGGCTCTGAGCGGCAAAGAAGCAGCCCGATTGAATTCTGTTTCTCTCTGCTGCTCGGAGCTATACCGGGAAAGACTCTTTTCTTTCCCAGCAGCAGGAGAACACGAGCCTCTCCACATTCTCCGATATAGCGAAATTTAGCTCAAGTCCCCACCAGTCTGCATCTCGCCCCCTGCCTGGATTCACTGCAGCTGCTGGGCCTTACCTGCTGGAGGTTAGGGCGGCAGTGGCAAGTGGGGGGAGGGAAAGGCGACCGACAGTGGCAGGTAGGCGACTGGGCCCTGGATCTTGTAGAGCCTCATTCTCCCAGGGAGATCAGGCAGGGCCACAGCAGAAGGCATGCAGCAATGGCTGGCCTGGCAGGTGGGCAAAAGCAGGCTGCAGGCAATGCCGCGCATGTACGTAAGGACTGATTGGGTGCAGAGGGGAGAGGTAAATATTAGTAAATATTGTTGTAAGTCTATCTGAATTTGACAAATAATTAATGGGAGCACCTTTTTGGGCATAACTATTTAATTCTGTTTCACAAGGTTATATAAAATTGTTTGCTTTAGCTTTTAATTGGCTAATTTGCAAAAAAAAAAAAAACAACCTTGTATCTTTACACTGTGCGGGTCTTTCTTAAAGCAATTCTGCCCAGTAGATTTAGGCTTCTTGTCTGCTAAGGTGAAAATTAAGCTGCTAAATAAGTCGCTGTCCAAGTTTCTAGTTTGGAAATTACCCTTAGTTGAAGTTTTTAAGAAGAGATTGGACTAGAAGACCTCCAATTCCTTTATTTTATATTCTGCACTAGTCAGGTTTCATTTCCAAATAACATTTACCACAATACTTATCAATATTCTCCTGATTCTTTATCCTATTCCATGTCAGGAAGCACCTTTCACTTTCTTTTTTGAGTGAATTTTTTGAGATGCATATTCCATTTCCATAAGCAGATAAAATTCAGGAGTTATAGAATTATAGTGCAGGACCTTAGAAGACATGTAGTTTAGTTCATTATCATAGTTGCTTGCTTGTAATGAGCATTTTAGTAGTCTATTTGGAAAAACTATGTATCGAATTCCTGCTGTAATATGAGTTAATAGAAGAAAATATTGTCAATTTCACACCCACATTTCCCTGTTCATTGCTGGTCTCTCTCTCTCTCTCTCTCCCCTCCCTCTCTCATATACAGAGAGAGAGAAAGAGAGAATTTTAATAATTTTGTGTTTGAAAATTTTCAAATCTCCAGTTGAATTGGTTTTACTGAGTTTGAAATAAGGCTGAATAAGAATATGCATCTTACTATTAGTAGTAAGTCCTTCTACATTTTATTTGGTTTTTCTAGTAAATTATTTCCTTCTGTAGGAAACACCCACCCCACTCCTAGAAAATTGAAATATCCTAGGAAATATTAAAAAGGCAGAATATTTCCCCTAAAGAATAGAAACCCAGAAGCAGAAACTCACCTCAGAAGCAGAAGCTCACCCCCACCTTTGTTAATAGGTGGGCTATTAAGGCCTGGGCCAGAATATTTTACATAACAAAGATCTCCAGATAAAGCTATAGCAATTGCCCAAAGCCCTTTTCATTAGATCATCACGCAGCAAGGCTCAACCAATCTGGAACTCAGGACAACCTACAGAGTTGCCCTTGCATTGCCCCATGGGAGTCTGACAACCAATCAGAATACAAGCTCAAATTCAAATTTCAACAGAGGGTATAAAACCAGGCACTCTCAGCATCTCAGCCCTTTCTTCTTTTCCTTTACCCAACATCTTGAAGCATGTGATCAGCCTTTTCACTTTGGAGCTCCAAGTAATGTGGTCCTGTCCACCATTAAACCATCTTTCCAAACACCTCCATGTTTCCAGTGTTTTTTTCCCCACTTGGAACTGAACCCAGGATATTTCTTCCAACACTTCTTTCCCTTTGTTAGAGCAACATATCTGACAGTAAGATTTGGATCCAAAATGGATCAATGACGTCAACAATTATTGTGGGCCTAATTGACAGCTCAAGACTGTATTGCTTGGAAACATGTGGAAGAGGCCTTCATCCCACAGTGGATAGACAATGGCTGAAATGATGTTTATTATTTATTGATTTGATTTGTCAATTGCTTACAAGTTAATAAATGTAAGTGTAAACATGAGGAAATAGGTACAATTAAATGGAGACAATAGGTCAGGGATGGTAGGCAAGCCAGTAGGCACTTATGCCAGTAGGCCCTTACAGACCTCTTAGGAATGGGGTGAGGTCAACAGTAGATAGTTTAAGGTTAAAGGAGTTGGGGTTAGAGGATGTAACAGTCAATGATCTGGCAGTTTAAATTTTTTCCAACAAATGTCTCTGGAGATTCTTGATTATCCAGGTCATGGTTGTCCCAAAGGTGCTTTTATTCAAGAGGCAACTGGGCTTTCTGGTTTTTCTTTGAAGACATTTCACTTCTCATCCAAGAAGCTTCTTCAGCTTGGACTGGAAAGTAGGGAATGGAAGAAATTATATTCCTTGCAGACAGCTGGTCATTTGCATTCTGTAAGTCCTTTAAGGCCACCTGTGTCATCAAGGTCTCCTGAGTAATGCAAATTGGTGTGGAGCCTTCTTGGAACTGTTGAAAGGACTGTGTTCTAGATTGGAGATAGATGATGTTGTATCCCTCCCCCTCTATTGAGAGAAGGCTATTAAATTTTGATATAGATGGCCTCTGTAACCCTTCAAAACAGCGACCCTGTCTCTGTTGTCTTCAAAAGTGGCCTGTGTGTTTTAAATGCAGATGGGCTACTGAATCTACTTATTCTATGTTGTGCCATGTGTTTATGAAGTGGTTATTTCCAGCTACCTTAGTTTTGATGACACCAATGTTGCATTAAAAGTGATTATATGCATTATGATCCCGAAAGCTTGCAAGCTAGCTTTGGTACTTCTGATTAAAAATTAGCCAGAAACCTAAGTTAAAGGGGATAGCTGGACTCTATTAAGGCTAATTTAAAAAGAAAAAAAACCCTCACCTTTTCAAAAACCACTGGCAAAGTATGCACAGCACTTTATGAATATGGGAAAAAGAGGCAGTTTTATCCAGGAAGATTCTAAGGGGAATCAGGCTACCTAGAATGAAACATACAGAATGTTCCGTTGCCACCATGGGGAAGGAGTGAGCCCACCATAGCACGTAGTAGCCAAACCGAGGTTTCCCCACCCCAAAAGAAAAAAACGAAAGACCCTGAAAGCTGAGGACCAATGGCCAAAGAGCAGTAGTTAGATTTGCCCAATCAGATATGAGAAAGACCGTTAACTGCCGTCTACTTCTCGCGCAGGCGTAGACTACTTTAGTATTTCATGTGACTGTATTAAAGGCGCAATTTTGGTTGCGTGCTGCGAGTATCGTCGTTTCCATTAGGGTGAGTGGCTCTAGTTTTCGGAATCCTAATTCGCCCAGTTATTAAAACAGACGGTTGGCTGTGATTCTGAAATAGAGTGAGCACGGGAGGAAGACAAATAAAACCCAAAGAACATTTCCCACCTACTAGTTAAGTGGCGATTTGATTCTAAAACGCGGAAACCTTAAGGACTGAATCGCTCCTTTGAAAAAAAAAAGAAAAAAAACGCGAAAATGCCGACAGTATCACACAGTTTTACAGAAAAGTGGAGTCTGTTAAGTATTTAACTTTTACATGTGGCTAGATTGTATGACGCGTTAAACGAAAACGGTCAGTTGGCTATTAATTCAGGAGCTTCGGCTGCATAAGAGTTTGTGGTTTACTATGATATATACTGCAAAGCCAGCCACTTGTTGGATCAAGCAACTGTGGGTACATAAGTGGCTTACCAAGAGTCCACGAGATACTTGTATTAAATTTCAAGGGATTCATCTTGTGAGATATTTGCAGCACGGCCTCGTGGAATAGCAATCGTTTTAATAATTTAATATTGTTAATTAAGATAGGCAATTGCAATGATAGAGGTGTGACTTATAAATGAGGTAAAACAAGTGGAATTTTTGTAACAACTTTATTCAGTGCTCTGGAATAAACATTACCATTTTAGTTCTTGCAGCAGTCAACCAAATTTATATTGTTTTTAGATTAGTGAAATAGAAAGGTAGATAGGGTATGTTTTCTGCAAATCTTGTGTCCCTAGAAAATACTAATTGGATAGTTAATTTTAAATTGAACCAGGTTTGGGTAATCTTTAAAGCAGAATGGTTAACGGTATGTCTGATCCACTAATGAATTTGTAAATGAATTGCAGTATAGTGGTTGAAATCTTGAATTGAAGCAGGGAGATCTTAAGTTGTAAACCGCCTCAGCAGCTTACTAATACAGGCAGTCGTAGATGTACAGCCACACTTGAGCCCAAAATTTCTGTTGCTACTTTCGGTATTGGAATTGATTAGGAAAAGGATTGAAACAACTTAGAGAAGGTTATAGTACTCTAGTATAAAATTTAAGACATGTCTGTCTTTGAAATAATAGTGTTCCAAGTTTACATTATAGGTGAATCTGGAAGGAGTGTTGAGGAAGCTTGTTCAGGAGAGACTAATAAAAGGCAGGGACATCTGCTGATAAAACAGTGGTGTTCCAATTACAAAAATAACAGTTTTTAGTAAGACAAAACTCTTCTAAAACTTAAGAAGCAAGTGATAGTTGTATCCATATTGCCATAAGAGAAACTTTTGGTATTACTGCTAGATGCTAGAGAAATGGCTTATGATATATCATATTAAACTATGAATTATTTATTCAGGACTTTTTAAACAAGACAGAACAGGCTGAATTTTTGCCATTGCATGAATTCCTAAGACATTATTTATAAATCCCAATAAATTGTTTCAAACTATTTACTAAGCCTTAATTAAACTAACCTCATGGTATATAGATAATCCTTGACTTAAACTGTTTCTTTAGCGACCTTTTAAAAATTACAATAGCATTGAAAAAAGTGACTTGCAATTGATAATCATACTTACGACATAGCATCCTTATGGTCACATGATCAAAATCCAGGCACTTGGCAACTGGCAAGTATTTACAATAGTTGCAGCATCCCAAAATCATGTAATTGCCATTTGTGATTTTCCCACCTTGTTTTCAATAAGGAAAGAAAATATGGAAAGCCAGATTCGTTTAACAACTGCATAATTCATTTAGCAACCACTGTCACTCACTTAATCTTATCAAAAAGGACATAAATCTGGTGACACTCATAATTTTGCATTCTCATCCTAGTTGTAATCATTAGTCAAGGACTACTTATATTATTATGATATCTGAGCCTTATCTACAGGTTTTGAGAATGGACAGCACATCTTGTTCTAAAAAAGTGGCAAGTAAATTAACCATTAGTTTCCTGTTTTTTTTTTCTTCCACTGAAAAGGTATATGTAATGGTGAAACTGCTTAAGTTAATAAATAATAGGCTATTATTCTAACCAATGATTGCTTCTATGTTTTAGGTTCTGTCAACATGGAAGAGGATTCAGAGTATAATAAAGGTACATATATTAAGAGGGTATATAGGTTTTTTTAAACTACCCTCTTAATAAAAAACTGAATTGACTTTTTTTTTCTTACAGTTGAAAATGCAGTTGGCTGTCACGTAGAAGATGCTGTAACTTTTTGGGCACAGGTAAGGTCAAAATTGTGGGGTATTATGAACAGCACTGGTTGGTTAAAGTGAGATTAAAATAATTCATGCCTGTGGGAGTCACCATTTAATCTAAAATAGAAATTCTTGAAGCTTAAATTTGATAAAATCAAGTTTAAGATAAACTCATAAAATTCTACATGTAGAATGTTTTATGTTTGAATCACTTTAGTATTTGTCACTGATAATGTGGTGTGAAAATCTTGAATGTGAATATTGATTTGGATTTCAATGTGTATTGTCTAGAACATTAATAAGTCTCAGGAAATTTTAAAGATTAGTTCTGGTCTGGCTGAAATCTGTCCTCAAGCTGCCCCAGTTTTTGGCAATCCTGATTTTAATAAGGTAGGTTATATATACATTTTCTTATCTTATATGAACATAAGATAACATCTTGCAGACATCACTTGAATTTGTATGTTTTAACATGTATTCCAAGGACTTTTATTTGAAGTAAATCGATGAGCTTTTAAATAATATATTCCTGTCTTCGACCACTGCTTTTAGCACATGCACAGTAAATATTGACTAGGTTTACCTTTCATGCTAAATGATATATTACTTATGACCCAGCCATTCTGTTAATTGTGGCTTGTTCTACAAAACTTGGTGTAATACATTATGTCAGGGATGTCAAATTCAAGGCCCGGGGGTTGGATCTGGCACGCAGGGTGCTTAGATCTGGATCAGGGGCTGCCCCGAACACAGCAAAGTTCTGGCCCGCGGTGCTTCTGCCAGTGAACTTGGGAGGGCTGCAGGTAGTGCTCCCGGCCTCCATTTTCACTGGCAGAGGGTTGCAGGAGGCTGTCGCAGTCAAAAACGGACTGTGCTTGGACCGCCACAGGTGCCCCCAACATGAGTGACATCAAGCTGGCCATGCTCACCCCAGCCCCCTGAGGTCAAACACAACCCTGATGCAGCCCTCAGTGAAATCGAGTTTGACACCCCTGCATTATGTGATCTGGCTTTTCATTTGCCTCAAAATATTGTATTCAAATGCTATTTTCATTTATATTTGTGATATACTTTGAGCTGTTTATGATAGAAAACTTGAGTAAATATTTTAAATACGAGTGCTGATCTTGGCATTGCTGAACATGCCATCTTAGTGATTGGCAAGCTTTACTCATTTTAATGCTAGTGGACAAAGAAGAGCAGCTTCCAAACAATTGACAAACTATGGATGTGTGGCTATTAAAAAGAAAAAATACTTCTGGTTGCTATAGAAATATTATAACAGTGTGTACAGATAGTCCTTAGTTACAGACTGGATCATGTAGTAATTGTTTGAAGATAAGGATTCACTAAAATAATTAAATAATTATGTTTTGCAAATGAGTACAACAAGCAGAGTTAATAGAGAAGGCAGAAAAAATATGATTTATTTTTGTTTAGCAACTGCAATACTTCTCTTAACAACCATAAGAGATATATGGTTATCTGATTTTCTGCTTAGCAACTTAGTCAAATTGCTAAGCCCAATTGTGGTTGCTAAGCAAGGACTACTATGTTAAAGATTGGTGGCTTAATTTAATAGCGTCTTGAGTTTGGGCAGTTTGTTTGACTATTTTAAAATCATAAATACTGGTAGAAGGATGGTATGTAAGCAGCATCTTTTTGCTGCTCATAGCAATGTTTGCTCTTAATTGTTTTATGGTTAAGCATGCTGGTAAATGATGACTTTCTGTGCACTCTGCATCTGTTTTATGTGCAATATGACAATGATTTCTTTAAGAACAAAAATTTGTTCTGCTTTGTTCTACTATACAAATGCACCCTTTTCAGAATAAAAGGCTGCTTTAAGAAAATCTGAATTGGTAGCTATAAAAATAGAAAAAAGGTTCAGTACATTTTTGCAGTATTGTATTCAATGAATTATAATATTCTGGGCAAAATTATTCATACTATAATAAAGTTAGGATGTAAAAAATACATGGAAAGTTACAAATTGACCTACTTGTGTTTTAATCCTCAGATATATGGAGGTTGCTTTTCTGAAGATAAATGCTGGTACAGATGTAAAGTAGTCAAAGTTATCAATAATGAAAAAGTAAGGATGTTTTGATTAATAGCTGGTCAGCTTGATTTTTTAAACACAATTTTGGAAATACAAAGATGGGTTGACAAGAAAAAATGAAGTTTTGTAATGTGCAGCAGGTTTAAGTATGTAGCCTGGTTAGTAATCATATGTGTACTGTTCAATTTTTTTTTTGTCTTGTTCTGCTTCTGTATTTTAAAAAAGGGACAAGTTAGGTTTAATTATGGGGAAATCAATCATTATCCAAACCTCATTGTAAAATTTGGGAGACCTATTGACTTCTGATTTTAATGTCTAATAGGTCTAAACAAAGAGATTATGTACAGCTAAGCTTGGACTAACCTTTTTGTCCTATTTTGTTATATTTGCATACTTGTAAATAAGCCCCACAATGTCTGTAAGCTTTACTTTTTACTAGGATACACAATTATATTGATACCTTGACAGTCTTAAGTGGAGACAGTTACTGAGACTTTCTATTCTGTTTCTTCAGGGCAAGGAGTAGATATAGAAGATTTTCAAATAAAAAGGCAGTTGTAGTTAAGGGTCAAATATTTCAAATAATGTTCACAGCTCTGATTCAGGGAAAGGTCAGCCATTAACTTTCAGTAAGATAAAGTTTATGGAGGTGTCCCTAAGAGAACAGAATGTAATTACTTAGATTACATTTTCTTTTGTCTTTGTACATTTTGTTCTATTGGTTGTTTTTAACTGTAAACACATATTCAGTAATTAGATTTAATGTCCACTATATCCTTCAAGTGCATGTCTACTTTTATTATAAATTTAAGTGATATTTTTTTATTCAGATTGCTTGCTCTTTGAAAAGTCATGTTTATAATGCTAAGCTTTCTGATTTTTGCATAATATATCCATGAGGAAAATCAGGAAGGAAGAAGGCTTTCCTGCTTTGTTCAAAACTAAGGAGCAAAATAAGAGTGATTTTCAAATAAAATAAGAGTTAGTGACATGGTATAAACAGGGTGTACTTGGAGAATCCCAATGTATGGAAAACCATTATAGAAAGCCCAGTGAGGAGGAAATGGGGTAGAGTGTCATCCAGAAAGAATAGGCTTCGCTACCTTACAACTTAAAAAGACAGATATTTTTTTTAAATTTTGGTTATTTCTGTTACAGTGCCGAGTATTATACATTGACTATGGGAACTCTGAGGTCCTCAGAAGATCAGAAATAGTTGAGATCTCTGAAAACTTGCAATTTCCTGGTGTGGCAACAAAGTATAAATTGTGGGGATTACAGATATCAGCTAATATAGATTTAAATCAATTTGATCGGGTAAGCCAGATACTTCATGTGATTATGTTTGTGCATGTCAATTTCAAATGTAAATTTCATAGTTGATTGTTGTGGCAAGGATGTGGAGAAAAATGCGTATATATAAAATTGCAAAAAAAAAAAAAAGTAACAGCATTAGGTCTTCTCTTGGTGTAATATTCACGTTATTTTAATTATATTGTGAGGTACTTACTCTTCATTTTTCTTTTACTGATTATCAAAAAACCTAGTTTTAGTATGGCATGTTCTATAACATCTTATTAATTTCATGAAGAGACACCCGAACAAGGAATTGAGCTTTTATTCTGCCCACTCCCCACAATCTTTCCCTTTAATAACATTTATGTACAGGCAAGATGATGAAAAGCAGTCTGTCATTCTTTTTTCCCCAAGGGTTATATAAAGGTGGTTTCACTTCTAGACAGTTTCTAAATTGCTAGACAGACATCATAAATGGAGCATATCCTTGATTGTAAAATAGCAGTCAGTATCCTCAAAGATCCTCAAAGATTAAATGCTCTGTTGAAAGGGATAGAAAAACAAAAGGAGCAATCAATAACAAATAGGGAGAGGGAGGCAGGGAGAATGAAAACTTCTATAGTTATGAGATTCTTTAATAGTAAGATCATATTTCAACTTCTTCTATAATACCTTCTAAATTTTATTTTGCAGGGGAGGCTATTTCTGAATAGTTTGGTGTTTGAAAAAGAAATGAAGATAACACATAAAATTGTGTATCGGGACGGTACCATTGTTGCCCGGGCAGAATGTGGTTTACTGGATGTTGGGGAAGAAATGGTTAAGAAAGGCTTTGTTGAACTTCGGACATCTCCCATAAAAAATAAATCATTGAATGCAAAAATGGATTTCTTTTTGCATAAGAATGTTAAATCATCAACTCCAAGATGGAAAATGAACAGTAAAATGACAGAAAGTTTTGGTGATATGTTTCTGAGTGAAAAAAATGAGAATAGTTCTTTAGATTATACAATCCAGTAAGTTATGGTGGGAGTGGGTTTTCTATGATATAGTTTGATAACTGTGAAAGACAATGGTACATAATGATTTATTTGATTAAGGGTATATGACATTGTCTATAGATGCAATACATTGCATCCAGCTTTTAATTTGCTACAATGGAAAAATTATTATTCCTCACCTATTTAATTATATTAAGATGAATGGGTAATTTATCTGAATTTTAAGTTTGATCCTCATTTCATTAAAGATTGATTTAGGTCTTGGTCCCTCCTGCATTTTGGAACCAGAAGAACGCTGAATCACCAAGGGTGATTTAGCCTTGCTTAATGTAGCCTGAATTTCTCTAGAAGGGACATGGGGTTCATATAGCAATACTTTTTTTTATTATTTTGCTGATACAAAATATAAATGAAACAAAGACAATAGGAAAGAGGGTAAGGAAAAAAGGAAAGGGAATAAAAAGAGGAAGAGAGGGGAAAATATGTATGCCTTCCAACTTTTTAAGTACAGTAAGTTATATGATAAAATTAATCTCAGCTTTTTACTTAATAAAGGTAGTGCTAGCCATTTCTGTGACAACTACCTACTTAATCATCAAAAACCAAAATTAAAGCTTTATTTTTATATCTTTTGAGTAGAAATTATAGAAAATGGTTTCAAGTGGAAATAAAACTAGTTACATTATTTCCCCCAAATTAAAATAGTTGCATATGTAATAAATTCCACTTTTTTTCTTCAGATCTATGTCCAACAGTCTTCACTTTTTAAAATTTCTATTATATATTTATTTCAAGGATCTTCTGAATTAAAATTAAATCTGGTCTCGGTGCTTCTTTGCCTTGTTACAAGTCTACCAGATATGATAAAAAGTGCTTTCTTTACATTTACAGCAAATATTTGAAATACCTATATACATCTTGTCAATTGTTGTCAATTTTCCATAAATACCAATAGTACATGCTTTTATAGATGTTTATTTAAGGTTTTAGTTCACCATAAATTTCAGCCCTTTATTCCACATGTTCAAGCACTATAACCAAAATTGTTTGTCCATTGAATCATACAGTATTTAATATATTCATATTTTAAATTCAATTTCAACAGCACTTTGTAAATCTTCAGAATAACAAAATAACAGAGTTGGAAAGGACTTTGGAGGTATTCTAGTCCAATCCCCTGATCAAGCAGGAAACCCTATTCACCTCAGACAAATGGTTATCCAATCTCTTTTTAAAAATCATCAGTGTTTGAGTACCATAACTTCTGATTAATTATTCTGTAAGAAAATTTCTCCTTAGTTCTAGGTTGGTTCTCTCATTAATTAGTTTCTGTCCATTCCTTTGGAAAATTAGTTTCTGTCCATTCCTTTGGAAAATTAGTTTCTGCCTTCAGGTATTTTGGAGAATAGATTGGACTCCCTCTTCTTTGTGGAAGCCCTTAGATACTGGAACACTGCTATCATGTCACCTCTAGCTGCCCTTTTCATTAATATGTTGTTGTTAGTTGATGTCTGACTTATCGGAACCCCATGGACAATGGTCTTCCAGGCCTTCATGTCTGCCATCTTCTGAAGTCCATTTAAGCTCATGCCTACTGCTTCAGTGACTCCATCTAGCCCCTTCATTTTCTGTTGTCCCCTTCTATTGCCCTCTCTTTCCCAACATTAGGCTCTTCTCCAGTGAGTCCTTCTCATTAGGTAGCCAAAGTATTTGAGTTTCATCTTCAGGATCTGGCCTTCTAAAGAGCAGTCAGGGTTGATTTCCTCTAGGATTGACTGGTTTGATCACCTTGCAGTCCAAAGACTGGAGCTCGGGTGCTCGCACAAATGGCTCTGCGTGCCACCTGTGGCACATGTGACATAAGTTTGCCATCACAGATATATAGCCTTGCTGGACTCCTTTCCCAATTTTGAACCAATCAGTGGTTCCATGTCCAGCTTTCACTGTTGCTTCTTGGATTTCTCAAGAGACAAATAAGATGGTCTGGTACTCCCATCTCTTAGGAACTTGCCATAATTTGTTTGATCCATACAATCAAAGGCTTTAGCATAGTCAATGAAGCAGAAGTAGATGTTTTTCTGGAACTCCCTAGCTCCATGATCTGATGTATGTTGGCAATTTGATCTCTAGTTCCTCTGCCTCTTTGAAATCCTGCCTGTACTTCTGATAGTTCTCGATCCACACACTGCTGGAGCCTAGCTTGTAGGATTTTAAGCATAACTTTACTAGCATGTGAAATGAGTGCAATGGTGCAATAGTTTGAACGTTCTTTGGCGTTGCCCTTTAAAATTGGAATATAAACTGACTTTTACTGCAATGTCTTTTAAGATTTTGAATAGCTCAGCTGGGATACTGTCACCTCCACTAGCTTTGTTGTTGCTCAATATTGAGTAGGTGGCAGAATGACAGAGGCAACACAGAGCAACCTTCAGCTATAACTTTATTTGAAAAATAAAGAGTTGCTGCAACTGCCATGCTAACAGGGCAGCCAGTTGGTGGGGAACAGCTGATACTGTTTGACAGCTTTTTATACTCAGCTGTCAAATGCTATCACCCAATAGGAGCAGTCCGCATTCCTGCTGGATACGCGGACCGGAGTGAGAACTTTAGCTCAGTCTTTTCAGAACACAATACTCAGATTCTAGGATGTCTGGCTTGAGGTCAGTGACCACCCCATTGTGGTTATCAGGGATGTTAAGCTTGTTCTTGTGTAGTTCTTCTGTGTAATTTTGCCACCTCTTAATCTCTTCTGCCTCTGTTAGGTTCCTGCCATTTTGGTCCTTTATCATACCCATCTTTGCATGAAACATTCACAGTCAGCTACTGGTCTTGTTTTTACTGACTGTATAGAGGAGTGGTGGCTAACCTTTTGGGGCTCCTGTGCCAAAAATTGTGCGTGCGCTCGCATGCTCGCACTTGCATGTCAACACCTAAAAGGCAATGTGCGCCCCTCCACACCCCCTACGCATGCGCGTGTAATATCCACATATTTAACCCTACCATCCCCTTACCTTTACTGCTCCTCACAGATGATTTTTGGCCTTCCAAAGGCTTGAGGAAGGCTTCTGCAGGCTTTGCAGGCCAAAAACTAGCCATGTTTCATCACTTCCCGTATTTTTTGAAAAAAAGGAAGTGATGAAACAGGGCTGTTTTTTGGCCTGCAAAGCCTGCAGAAGACTTCCTCAAGCCTTTGGGAGGCCGAAAAAGGCCTCAAACTGGCTGAAAATCAGCTGTGAAGCACACACATGACCAGTGAGGTAAGTTTGTCTGCAGCTCCTGTGCTGGCACAAATGGCTCTGAGTGCCACAGGTTTGCCATCACAGGTATAGAACTTCTCTATCTTTGGCTGCAGAGTACATAGTCAATCTGATTTCTGTGTTGACCACCTGGTGATGTCCATGTGTAGAACCACCTCTTGGGTTATTGGAAAAAGGTGTTATGACCATCGTATTCTCTTGACAAAATTCTATCAGCCTGTACCCTGCTTCATTTTGTACTCCAAAGCCAAACTTGCCTGTTACTCCTGTTATCTTTTGGATTCCAATCCCCCAAGATAATAAGGACATCATTTTTTTGGTGTTAATTCTGTAAGCTTCTATAGGACTTCATAGAAGTGTTCAATTTTAGCTCCAGTGGTTGGGGCATAGACTTGGACTACTGTGATATTGAATGGTTTGCCATACTGTGATATTGAATGGTTTGCCTTAAAATATTGTATCCCAATATTGCTTTTCCTACTCTTTTATTGACTATGAAAGCTACTCCATTTCTTCTGAGAGATTTTTGCCCGCAGTAGTATACCTGATAGTCAATCTGAATTAAATTCACCCATTCTTGTCCATTTTAGTTCACTGATTCCTAAGATGTCAGTGTTCAGGCTTGTCGTCTTTTGTTTGACTACGTCCAGTTTGCCTTGATTCATCTTACATTCCAGGTTCCTATGGAGAATAGATCTTTACAGCATCGGACTTTCCTTTCACCATCAGATACATCCACAGCTGAGCATCCTTTTGCCTTTTGTGACTACCTTAAAATATTGCAGATGCTGTATTCGTTCCCTTGCTAACTCCAAAGTGTCTCTCAGCCCAAATAACTTACTATTTTAGAATTGGAAGCACATGTTTGGATTCACTAATATTTGTGCTACAGTCACAATGAATACATGTTCAAAGAGATGTCTTGAGCATTGCACTGCTGCAACACAAGCTCCATGTCTTTGTATGTATGTGCAATTTCATGAAAAATGTATGAAAAGGCCAGAGCTTAAAACATTATCATGCTTTTGTGGGACCCTGTAGACTTTTTGATTTTGACTCCATGTACTATGGGGTTGAACAAATAGTTACAGAACAAGCAAAAAGGAAGACAGCTTTATATTTGTCTTGATTACAATTGGTCATAGTATCTAGATGATCTTGAAAAAACTAAGCAGAATCAGGTATTGATAGTATTTGGATTTAACTGATAATCCTAAGTTTGTAGGTCTTTTTACTTGAAAGGTTAAAAAAGTCTTAAAATAAGACAACAAACCTTCACATTATTGTCAATAAAGCAATAAGGATGTGACACACGTTCTAGCAATTGAATTTGAAGCTTAATTACCATTCAAGTGTTAATGCGTGATGTGAATTATTGAACACATTTGGAATGCTTATAATCTTTAAGAGTTTTTGTAGCTTAGAAGTGGAATGGAACATACTGGGAAAAAATATCTTTACTTTCTTAGGAAGCAGAGACATAAAAGATGCTCTGGTTTTACTCAGGTTTTGATAAATTAATTAGCAGCTAGTAAAGATGTCCTTGATAAAACTTTGGACATATAGATCTTTAAAACACACCTCTAAAATTCTTTTGATGAATCTTTCTTGTGTGTTCCAGTAATAATGGAATGGTAATTTGTAATTTTAGAGGGATGTCAGATGTTACCCTGGACAAGATAATAGCGGGTCAGAAGTTGATTGAGGAGATTGAGAAACAAAAAGAAGAAATCCATAGTCTTTCCCATCAGTGTGAAATGCTGGAATCAATGCTGGAATCAACAAAACATAAACTTGGTTCTGATCTTGAGGTAGGATAAATGTTGCTAATCCGTAATTATGTAATTGTCAGTCTTACAATAATGAAATGATACAGAAAATTCTTAGTGGAAAAAGTGAAGGTGGATGCTTGCTGATCTAGATCAGTTTTTCTTAGACTTCGTCAGTTTAAGAAATAGGGACTTCAAGAATTCCCATCTAATACTATCCTAAGAAACAGTAATCTAGATGTTTTTTCTTTGTTTTAACTTTTGTCAGGAGATTCTGTGGGCCTGACCAAACGTAATGGGTATAAAGGAAAGTGCCTGGGACAATAGAGGTCCAACTAATATAAGCAATTCTTTACAGTCTTAATTTGTTAACCTGGTACCTTTTAGCACAAGAATAGTTAGTCCACAATCACTTGTAACCGAGCCCTTCTGGCTATGATTGCTAAAAATTGGCATTGTTCACTATTTGAGGCAGAAACCCACAAAAACATAAGTTATACAAACTTATCATGGTCTTAACTCTGAAACTCATTGTCTATATTGGGAAAATACGTTGCCTTGCCCAGATGTGTTACATAGTTCCATTCAATTTGCTTTATCATGTTTTGCCTTCCTTAGTAATAATACATGTTTCTCTTGACAGCTGAAAGGCTAATTACCCTCTTGGCTTATCATTTCCACCATTTCCATTTAAAATATTTACTCCAGTATTGTTTTCCTTTGTGATTTTAAACTGCCTGAAGCAAAAATCTGGGTACCTGTATGAAAGATCTACTTAGTCCTGTTCAGTTCTTCAGTGAAAGATTGATAACCTGTAAGAAGTAGTATTGGTTGACTAATGCCTTCATTGGTTTATCCAATGCAGAAAGAGAAGAAAGCTTGCAAGGAAAGCCTTGATTGTATGGAAAATAGGCTGCTCACTTATGTAGGAACTACGATGAAAAAATTGGCTATTAGCTTCGAAAAATTAAAAGAAATGAGGTATGCGTTTCCAGACTATATTTGTGAAGGGTAATTTTTAGTTGATGTAAGTAATAATAATCCTGGATATTTTTTCAAACATTGATTTACTCTTATGATAACCTATGATTTATTTTAGTTTATATGAAATAGACTTAGCAAAATAAGCTGGGGGTTATTGAGAGATTGAGATATTGCAGTCAATAAAACATAATTAAAAAGTGAAAAATTGTTAACATTTCACAAGTTTTCTGTCATTTCAGTTTCATGATTTTGCTTCTTTCCAGCTGAAATCTCGAGTTTTCATGGAAAAAACATTGAGATCTTATGAGGTTTAGTTGTCTTACACATTTTGGGATTTTTGTCCATTTGTTTCTAAAGCAGATTTGTTTAATTTTGGAAAGCCAAGGGTGGCATCTAGGAATCTTCTACATGTACTAGTTTCCAGAAGCACTATACAAATGCATTCAGACAATCATGAACCTATTTTTACTGCCACAGTAACTGAATTCATATATAAATAAAAAATTGTACTGTGTTTCAAGTTACGTTGATCAGGGTGATACTAAAAATAGCCTACAGGTAATCCTTGATTACGATCGATGTCCCAAAAGATACTTATTATGATGGCCGCTCACCCCTCTCCTGATCATATGATCACGTTTTAGGCACTAAGCAACTGGTCCACATTTATGGCCATTTGCAGCATAACACAGTTATGTAACTGATTTATATTTTTTGTGGGAAAAGAGGCTTTATTTATAGTTTCTTGCAAAAAAAAACTGATTGCAGACAATGACTTTGCTTAAGAATCTCAGCTTTTGCTTACAATAGTTGCATTCCCTGAATAACTATAAAAAGTTTGTAAAATTGGGTTGGTTAAGTGGGTGCCTTAAGTTACGACTATCAAGACATATGACAGAAATTTTAGGCTCCATTATAGTCATTAGTCAAGGACAACCTATATTGGCCACAGTTAATTAAGTAGAATGGCAGCTTTTCAGTAATGGTTAGAGACCTCAGTAGGAATGTGCAAAATTTGACAATTCAAGAACAATATCTCAAAGACTAGTGGACTGTTTAAATTTCCTTGTTTTTAAAAAAAATAAATTCTCTGAATGAGAAGATGTTTAAAGTGTCTTAGACACATAAAAGATTTCTGATCTTCAGAAAAATACTTTTTTTTTTCACACAATATCAAATAGCAGGATTTACCTAACATACATAAAATGTAACTTTATATACAGTATTTAAGTTAATGTGTTTGATTATATAAAGGTGGATAGTACCAGCTTCTGTCAGTTGCAGCAAATGTAGAAAGTCACTGTTCTGGCTGTCATCTTGATTTTGTTGCCCCCTCCTCCCCTGATTCCCCTGGTTATTTGGCATAGTGAAACTTTTGAACAGCTGTAAAGAAAAAAGATAGTGTGTCAGGAGGCAGAGAAAGTGGTACAGGCTAGAAAGAGCGAGAGAGTGGCACAAAGGAGTTGGAATAGAAGAGGCAAGCAGGGAGGAAATACAAGAAGGTATAAAAAGCAGAATAGAGGTTAGCAGCTTGGTAGCTGGTGAAACATGAAGGAGGGTAGGCTGGGATGAAGGAAAGAAATGAAGGGAAATATAGCAGCAGGCAACTTGAGTGGGTAGTGCAGGAAGGAAGAAAGGCTGGGGAATGAGAATGGAGAAGGAAACAAGAGGGTTCAAAGACTGAGCATAATCTGAGACTAAACTTTATACTTTCCTGATAAATACGATTGCTTTATCTTTTAAAGAGTACAGTTACCTAAACATGTCTCTGAAGATAGTATGAAAGGTTTAATCTGTTGTTCTTGTGTATTCTTTTATTTTCCTATCTGTGGCTTAGAGAATCCAGATAGATAGGGTTAAATCAGATCCTGCCCTGTTGGACTGAGTCTGTGTTAAAACTAAAGCTCCGCCCTGTGCTATGGCCATGCCCCAGTTTTCGACTCAGTCCAGCCAGGACAGGACGGGAGTTGCTGAGGCTCCACTTGAATTGCAAGTGGAGGCTTTTTGCATAAGACAAGAAGTTTCAAAGAGCAACAGAGGCTTTTGGAGGACTCTGCACCCAAGGTGTGAGTCTTTTAACCTCCGGGCTTGGCTGTTGTGTTCAGGGTGGCTGCCCCAACGCGCAGAGCTGCAAACACATGGAGCGGCTCCAGGTGATCGGCCTAATAAGGACTATCCGTTGTTGTGCGCGGTAGCACAGCAGCAGCAAGGTGGAACAATGCTGCTTTCACTTTTGCTTTCTATTTGATCGCCTTGGCTGCAAAGCGCAAAGTGTAGCAGCAAGCAGCAGTGGCTAAAAGGGGCAATCTGCCCAGAGGAGGCTTTGCAGCAGTGCACAACAGCTGCTTGATTGGACAGTCGATCCAATCCTAGCTGGGGGGCCTAGTTGCATGGCAGCAGTTGGTGCTGAAGAGTGGCAAGGATGGGATAAACCCCAGCTGAGGGTGCAGATTGACCACGTTGCCAGAGCTGTGATTCCAGCTACAGAACTGAAGTGATTGCGTGGGCGCCAGTAGACCTGTATGCAGGTCCGTTATTGTTGTGACCGGCAGGGTGTGGCTGCAGCCCAGCAATAGGCCTATCTAGGCTTGCTTCATCGGTTCAGAGGTAAGAGGATCTTTGTTATTCTGGATGGGCCTTACTGGCAAGGGCAAGCAGTAAATGTATTATTAACTCCTCATCCCCTTCCCCACCAGGATCTATCCTCTCCCTCTGGCTGTGTTTGTTAATCCCAATCTCCCAGTGGGATGACAGATAAAGATCAGGAAGTGGTCACAGTCCCTCTACTTCTAGAGAAAAATCAAGGGGCAGGCAGAAGAGAAAGGCCCCTAAACCCAAGAAACCTTCCAGGATGCTTTGAGAAGGCAGAGGGCTCCAGAAAAGCAGGTAGAGAAAAGGTAGCGTGTTGCTGGTGGGAGGAGCTGGAAATCACCAGACCCAGATTCTTCTGCTCTGACTCCAATTTTACAAAGAGAGCCTGGGCCTTCTACCTCCACTAGTAGACCTTGCTTACAAGCCTGGTCGCCTGATAATTCATCTGTTACTGCTGATCCACAGCCTCTAGAGGGAATTTCAGATTACGAAGGAGTTCCCCAAGCTGTTTGCCAGGATGAAACTAAGGCACCTCCTCCTAAGAATGCCAGACCAGGGATGGCAGCATCTTATACGGTCATAGCTGCTGTCTTGCACAGTTCTGAAGAGGCTGAAGCAGCATTACCTGTGTACGTGGAGGCAATTATCTCTAGAGCCATAAGCCAAGGTATAGTGGAAGGCCTCCAAGCTATGAAGAGGCTTGAAAAGGTGGTGTCAGAACATTGAGACCTAGAACAATCTATTCATTAGAAAAACAGAATCCTTAAGGAACAGGGCTTTTCCTGACCCCTCCATATATAGCTTTACACATAAAACACCAGAGGAAGACAATAGGGAATATGATTTGGCAGACGAAGAAATAGCCCCGGAGAGACCTTCCTTCTCTGGTCTCTGATTCTCAAAAGTTCAGGGCCTTATTGTTTAAGGCCAGGAAGATGGCCCAGTTGGGACCAGAAGCAGATGTTGGGAAAGTGGAAGGGAACATTACTGCTCCTCCAGACCAATATTTTGATGAACCGGAAATGATTCCGGTGCCTAGATTATTTTTGAATGTTATCAAGAAATAGCTGGAATCCCCGAGAACATCTGCCATATTATCAGCCAGCAAACACTGCTACTTTAATATATGGGGACTGAACTTACCAGCTCATTACAGGTGCCATCAGTGGACAGTCCAGTTGTAGCCTTGATTTCTTCCTCATCAAACCCCAGAGGATAAGAGGATAGAACAATCCATCCAACGTATCCACCTGGTGGCTGCCTGTGCAGTCAAGGCTGCTTCGGCTGCCTTATTCTTTATGAGGTTTTTCTTACGTTGGCTGCACTAACTGCAAGATAGGGTCCCTGCCACAGATGCCCGAGTGCACCAAGACATCCATAAACTTGTAGCAGCGCCCGAATTTACTGTGGATGCCACTTTAAACAGTGTCAGATTTGCTTCAAAGGCCATTTTCACTTCTGTAGCAGCCCGCAGAATGGTCTGGTTTAAAAACTGGCAGGCCAATGGGTGGTGGAAGTGGAAGGTGGCATCTGCCCTTATCAAAGGGGATAAATTGTTTGCGGAGGTCTTAGAGCCCCATCTGGTGGAGTGGAGAGCAGAGATAAAAAATATCTTCCTTCTCTGGCAAGGCGGTCCACTTACAGAGCGGTACCATACACTCCAGGTCATTCAGAGCTGAGGGCAGCATTGGGGCTCAAGGGTCTCAGAGGCGGTCCTTCAACCACCAGGAATGCCCCAGGAAAGAGAGGCCAGAGATAGACCCTAATTTTCAGGCAAGCAGCCCTTTCGTGGGGGAGGAAGTTGCTTTTTTTGGCATTCCTGCTAAATGTCGCAGTAGTTCTCCCACTGGGGGGAAGGTTATCCAATTTTGCGGCCCAGTGGGAGGCTATTACATCCGACTTGGGTCTTAAATACCATCAGACGTGGCCTTTTCCTAGAATTTAAATCACAACCCCCCAGATTTTATGTGCCTTGCCCCATTTCCAAGGAAACTTCTCATAGGAAACTAATGGAACAGGCCTTCCAACACCTACTGGATATTAGAGCCATCCAGTCAGCCCAAGTTAATTAACAGGGTAAGGATTCTACTCCTAGCTGTTGTGGTTCCCAAGGCTTCTGAGGGTGTGTGTGTGGAGAGCCATTCTGGATTTAAAAAGGCTCAATAATTGTTTGTTGTACAGGCGTATCCAGATGCATTCACTGCAGTCTATTTTGCAGAGCGTCAGGGAGGGTGAATTCCTCACCTCAATTGATTTATCAGAGGCTTATCTACACATCAGAATTTGTCAGACACACGGAATATTTACGCTTCAGCTACGAGGGAAGTCACTTCCAATATTGGGCTATGCCTTTTGGTTTATCCTCTGCACCCAGGGTGTTTACTAAGGTTGTGGCTGTCTTGGCAGCTTGCTTAAGAACCATCCCAGTAAGGGTGCAGTGTTACCTGGATGACATTTTAATCCAATCATCCTCACATGACTGGGCCTTAAAGGATCTCCAAGTGACAGTCTCCCTGTTACAAAACCATGGCTTTTCTATTAACAACAAGAAAAGTCATTTTTCACCATCTATGTGTTTATTCATCTTGGAGCTAAGATTGGCACAATGTCTTGTAAGGTATTCCTCTCACAGGTACACAAAGATAGTTTACAAAGCACGGTGGGGGAGGTCGTAAGAGTGGATAAGTTCCCCTTGGCACTTCTCTCACAACTCTTAGGGAAGATGATTTCGTGCATTTCCATCGTGCCTTGGGCTAGTCTACACTCCAGAAAGCTTCAGTGGTTTCTGTTGCCCACCAAAAGGCAGGTAGAAGTCACTCATCTCTCAAGGTCTCAGTCCCCAGGTCTGGTCAGCAGTCCTTGTCATGGTGGTTTTCTCAAACTTTGAATGCAGGTCAATTATTCAGAGACCCGTCCCGAGCAGTACAAGTACCAATGTCACTATCAATGCCAATCTCTCCGACTGTGGGGCGCATTTACAGTCACACTTGGCTGAAGTGTTTTGGAGAGGGAAAAGAACATTAATTGGTTAGAACTGAGAGCGATTCAATAGGCTCTCAAGAAATTTAGAAACACCATACAACACACACGTCCTAATTTTAACAGATAATGTAACTGCCAAGGCTCACATCAACAGGCAGGGTGGCACCAGATCTAGGGCTTTAATGTTAGAGGCTGAATGTTTGGACTTTGGGCGAAGAGGAATCTCCTGTCAATCAGGATAGAACACATCTTGGGTGGAAAATGTGCAAGCGGACTAGCTTAGCAGGGCCAAGATTGACTTCTCAGAATGGAGTATTCCCCCTCTTATTTCACGAGCTGTCACAATGGTTTGGACTACCAATGGTGAATCTGTTCGCATCTCCAACCAATACCAAACTCCCCAGGTTTTTCACCAGGTTTGCGACCCAAAATATTAGGCCATCTGTACCATTCTAGCAGCTAGGAGACCTTCAACCAACCACATCTATCAAGCCACATGGAAGGTCTTCTGCCAGTGGTTATCAAGAATAGAATTTCCTCCACTTCGACTTCAGTAGCCAACATTCTGTTTTTTTTACAAGAGGGTCTTGACAAAGGGCTCTTGGCAAACACTAATCAGACAGGTGGATGCACTTTCTTCAGTATTGTACATACACAGGAAGGGGTCCTTGTCTCAGAACCAAACCATCCAGAGGTTTTTAAAAGGGGCCACCAACCTTAGACCCATGGTTCACAGATTCCCCATTTGGGATCTTTCTAAGGTGTTAAGGGCCTTAATGGCCAAACCTTTTGAACTGTTCAGGTCCATTAGATTATACTTCCTGTCTCTCAAGGTAGAATTTCTAGTAGCCATCACTTCGGCTAGAAGGATCTCAGAGATGGTAGCCCTTTCAGTCAGGGAAGTTTTGTGTGTCTTCCATCCAGATAGTGGTTTTGCAGTTAGACCCATCTTTCATACCTAAGATTAATTCTAGGTTCTACCTGGCTCAAGAGCTTATTCTCTCAAATTTCTGCTCCAATCCTACCCATAATTTGGAACGGGTGTGGCACACCCTGGATGTCCATAGAGCCTTAAAGATACACATCTGGAAGACACATTCTATCCAAAAGTTGGAGGCATTTTTTGTGTCCTTCCAACAAGGCACAGTGGGGCTGAAAGTGTCTCCATCAACAGTGGGCAGAGGGATTAGGGATTGTATTGCTAAGGCTTATCAGAACAAGTCTCCTGGTGCCTCGAAGGGTGACGGCTCACTCTACTAGAAGTGTGGCAATCACTGCAGCATGGGCTACTCAAGCACCCATTGAAGAGATTTGTAGACCGACTACATGGTCTTTACTGTCACCCTTCATTTGGCATTACTGCTTGGATGCCTTTGCATCAGCCGATGCAGCTTTTAGCAGGAGGGTTCTACAGAGCGTGCTCGAACGCCAATGTGAATAGGACCAGACTCACGCTCTCCCAGGGGCCGGCCAGCTTTGGCATCAGCCTTTGGCAACCAGCCTATCTATCTGGACTCTCAGAACCACAGATAGGAAAATGAACATTGGCTTACCTCAATGTTCGTTTTCTTCTGTGGCGTAGAGAGTCCAGCCCACCCTGATTCGTCTGGTCTGAGTGGGGGTTGGGGGGAGCAATAATATATGTTTTTTTATCTTGCAACTCCAGGATGAGGTTTAGTCTGCCAAGTGCTTTATCGAAAGCTGGGGCATGGCCACGGCATAGGGTGGAGCTTCAGTTTTAACACAGACTCAGTCTAACAAGGCAGGATCTGATTTAACTCTATCTATCTGGACTCTAAGCCACAGAAGAAAACGAACATTTGGGTAAGCCAATGTTCATTCTATGTCGGATGGAATCAATTATACTTGGAATATTGGGACATATTTTATTGAGTAAAAATAGCTGTAAGAGATACATAGTAATGTATATAGTATTATAAATGGTCATTTTTAAATATCATTCAGGCAAAATCACACAAGTGCTAATATTGGGGAAGAACTTTTAGAAGCTGCAGATAGAGTTACCAAAGAGAAACTTGTGATGCCACAGTCCATGGAAGTGCTGAAAAAGATATGGGAAATTTATAATATTTACCAGCAAAAAATACGCCTTTGCAAAGATGCGGTAGGTGATACATCATACCATTTTATGGCAAATCATAAGCTCCGATGATGTCTCTTAAATTTTGTTCATGTAGCTGCTTATGCTTGTTAGCAAAAGGATTGCCAAGGATTTAAAATGTGACAATATTTTTCTAATACATGATGTATCCATGTTTATTACTTAATTTATTTGATTTTTATTTTATCAAATAAATTAATTTGTAAGTAATTTAAGAGGGTGAACATCCATAATATTCCTATTTTTCCACAACAATCATGTGAGTTGAGTTGGGCTGAGAGAGTGTAATTAGTTCAAAGACACCCATCTGGCTTTCATGCCTAAGGCAGAACTAGAATTCATAAGTCTTCTGGTTTCTGTTCTTAAACATTAAACCAAACTGGCTCCAAGTTAGTGCTATCACAGATTATAGATTTTGTGAGGAGGAGAAAGCAACTTGCAGGTCATTAGCAAATTTTTACAGCTTTTCTCTTTCCTCTACTGATCAGCAACAGGATAGTTGAATGGAGTACAATTTGAGAATTTGTTGGATTGTAATAACTCTGTGAATGAATGAATGAGAGAGAGAGAATGAACATCTTAAAAATTTACAGGTGCTGGTCAAATGAAAAATTTCCGGTTAGTCCTACCCAATAGAATAATCTTCCTAGATGTAGCTACTAGGAATTCAAATTCCTAAATGTAGCACTAGGAATTTAACTCAGTTTCTAGTAATTACATCCAGGAAGATTATTATTGTTGGATAGATCCAATGACAAAATTTTTGAGTGAAAATTGGATTCAAGGCTTCCGTATCTTTTTTTATCATTCATATTATTGGTCTTGTTAATTTTATATGATTGCTATGCTTATTGCATGTCCATTACTTGCAGATTATTCTGTTAATAAATCGTTAAACTCTTTTTAAGAGAGTAAATTAATCTTTCCTGCAACTAAATGTGTGAGAATGGGTGTTCTATTTCTCTGTCTCCTCCTCCGCTCCCCAGCTCAACATCTGAATTGAAAACTATATAAATTCATGTAGAAACTACCATAGGTTTTTGGTCTTAAAAGGTCCAGTAAAGTAGCTTGAGAAAAGCCCATATTGGACATAACTTTATATAACAAATATAGCTTTAAAAATAATTTATTTTAAAATAAATAAAAAGGTATGTAAACTAATTCATGTGAATATTCTCTTCGTTGGTTATGTCAGCAGATAAAACAGAAAGGACATACTGCTTGAGAGCCGTACTTTCTGTTTTTGTCACTTGTCTAAAGCAGAATTTGGCTGCTTTTGCTTTCACCTGTACTGGCTTGTATTATAAGCATGTACGTGATACAACATTTGTAACTGCACCAGTATCTGAAAACTGATGTTTTGGATCAATGTCAGTGAGTACATTAATTTTCACATGGTATAACTAATGCCTAAATTTGCGGTTGTTCTATAGGGTTATTCTACACAGGAGGTCCTTGATTTAGAACCATTTGTGATTGTTCAAAGTTACAACGGCAGTTACTATAGTGACAGTCTCACACTTAAAATTGTCACAGCATTGCCTGTGAGAAATCAGTGTCTCAGTTTGAAATCAACAGGAGATACCATGAACAATACAAGAGCTTGTTTAGTGAAGATTTTGCAAAAGCTGTTCTCTTCATGGTTAGAAACACAGGAGACATTTTTACATAGGAATACATGATGATTATAAACAGTTTCAAAACTCCTTTCCCAGTTACTGCCCTTCTCTCATTGGTTGATATCTGGTGTACAGTCTGCCCCTTCCCAGCAACTCCATCCCAGTAGCTATTCATTTCTAGTAATCTCCATCCCCCTGATGGTTGCTACAGCCAACTATTGTCAGCATTATTAATTTTAGCATGACAAGTGGTTTCTTGACCTGCCAACTATCTTCCTTTGACCTGCAATGTGCTAAGATGTTTATAGCCTTGTTATTTTCTTATGGTGAACATTCTTACACAATTTCTTACTTAATGTCTCATTAGGGTTCCATAGTTTACATGCCATACATGCTAAATATGGCATTTGCTGTTTTCTTTACAGGAATAATTCTCATTTCTCTCATTCCCAAATTACATAAACAAAATTAGGATTCTTGGTAAATAGCATATATTTATGACAGTTGCATTGTGTCTGGATCATGAGATTGCAATTTGTGACCTTCCCAGATGGATTCTAATAAGCAAAGTCAGTGGGAGAAGCCAAATTTGGTTAGCAATTGATGATTCACTTAACAACTACAGTGGTTTATTTAACAATTGTGGCAGAAAAAGTGATAAGGTTGGGTACAACTCATTTAACAACTCCTTTGCTTAGCAGCAGAAATTTTGGTTCCAGTTGTGGTTGTAAATTGAGGAGTACCTATATCTCTACTGAAGAAGACCTCAATTGTGTGTTCTCTTCTGCACAGGATGAAATACAAAGCTTGATTCTCCAGAGGAATGAATTGCAACATAAATTGTACAAAGCTGTAGAAGAATTCATTGTGGAAGTGGATGATCTTCCTCTTTTTGAGCGCTTAGAAACATTGAAGGTTGGGTCCAGAGTGGCATTTTATTTGTTTTATTTTACGTTTATGAAATGCTCTCCAGATCAAATTATAGTTTTGTAATGATCATAAATAGTAACTTAAAAGTCATGGGATCATTCTGACATTTCTTTTTGCAAATATTAATATTTAAATTAATTTCTGAGGTAACCCCAGAGCCTCCTTGATGCCATTGTTTCTAATCTGAAATATTGACAAAATGTGTTCTACTTTTAGAAGTCTGCAATATGAGCAGGTCATGCTATTCAAAATAGTATTTAGGAATGACATTGGAATAGGCTTATGTACGTATATAGCAAACATGCTGTTCCTGTTTGGGATCTACTATGTAATGCAAAATGCAGAAAAGAAGTAATAACAGAGAAAGGAAATCAAAGCTAAGAAAAAAAGAGAAAGGAAAAGATGTTTAAATACATGTACTGTTAAATACATGTTTTCTCATTCAGAAAAAACTAATATATCACATGAATTAGCCATTTGAGTTTACTTATAATTTCTCTTCTACAAAATGCTTCTTATACTGAGATCCACAAAGATATTTTAAAGTAGCTTTATATTTATTCCATATTCTCAATATGGCTGTAATGTGTTCTTTTTAAACTATACCCAATTCATTGTACACTGACCTTAGTCCCTCTTTGATGGAGATGGGCAGTGCAGAAATGTAAAAAATATATAAATAAATACAATTTGATTAACTCAAATTCCAAAGAGCCATCAATAGCCTTGGACCTTGTACAGTTGGGTTTTATATCCCGCTATAAGAGTTGGTTTTATTTTGAAAAAAGAGTGCTCAGAATATAAAAGTAAAACATACACACATGTGGGTGTGAGTTTCTTTGTGAATTGTCTTATACCACCTTTTGTTTTTATTACTATTTATAGTATTTAATATTTTCTAAACATTTCTGTACATAATATTCTACTATTATTCTCTGCTGTATAATATTTGTACTAATATTACTATTGCTACTGTACTATTACTATTATTAGTATGATGGTGATGTTATCCATTCACTTGTGTTTAACAGTGTATTCTTATGCATCCTGGTCTGTCTTTAATACTTCTCTGCTCTGGATTTCTTTTACTATTACTTTCTTCTTTATTAATAGGCAGCAGGTAAAGCACTAGCACTTTCCCAATATTGTGCTGGCTTGGATGTGCCTCTTTTCCCCCTCTCCTTCTGCCTCTGTGAAGTTTTTTTGGGGTTGGACTTTTTTCTTGCAGCAATGGCTGCAGTTTCAGAAACATGCATATTTCCTCTGTTCTTCTTGCTTCTCCTTCTCTACCTGTTTCAGAGTGAAGCATTTTATGAGCAATTCTGCATAAAGAACTCAGGGAGAGGGCTCAACTAGGAGGAGAGAAAGGTAACACAAAAGCATGTAATTTTCTCTACTCTTCTACAATGACATATCTAAACATGATTTTTACAATCTTTGATAAAACCTGGGCTTTATTGTACTATAAAGGTTCAAACCACCTAAGTTTCAAGTTGTGTCCTTTTAGCTCCAGATCTTTTCTACCAACATCCACTTTTTTAATCCAACGAAATAGCAAGCTGCAAAATACAATTTCAAATAGGGTAATCCTGGACCTTTTCTTTCTTTTACATCTTGTATAACATTATATTCAATTCTTATTTATCATGTTAATACCCATATATCTACTTTCAATCTTAAAAACCATTTTATTCATCAATTGTTCAATCCTACAACCTCTTAGTGTTAACGTCTTTGTTAACCTTGAAACCTAATGCAGCAAAAAAAAATTTTTTTCTACTAATAATTCCATTAAAAGGATCCTGATCTTCCAAAACTAGCCTTCCCATCTGTCAAAGTTCTTAACTTATAAAGTCCCTGTGTTCTGTCTTCTGCACAGTGGTGGAATTGTACGCTGTGCAGGTGCAGATAGATAAACTCAACAAGACATCCATAACAAAGTACATTTATTAGCTCATCAGGTATCCTCATAACTCACATTTGTGACAAAGTTCTTCTTTAATGACCAATCCTTTGTATATCTGTCTTGTAGGTAAAAGATGGTTATCTCCTAACCCGTCTCATAGCAATAGAAAGCAGCTGCCATGAGTTAGGGAGTTCAGGCAAAAGTGAGGAAAACTCCCCCAACCCATCGAGGGTCAAATTAGTGACCAATCGGGATTACAGATGTGGCCATGTGACATGAACTACATTTCCCAGGATACCTTTAACTACATTCCCTTAAGGGGACAGCTCATAATTCCTAAGTAACTATCCAATTCCCATAGTCTGGCTGGGACAGCACACTCTATTTAAGTTTTTATTTCCATAATTCTCTCATTTTATCTTGCATTTCTATTCAAAATTTCAAGAACACAAAAAAGAAGAGGAGGCAGCTTTGTCATATTCTTTTTTTCACATGGTTTTGTTAAATCTCCATTAACAATAATTTGTGCTTTCTGTGAAATATACATCCATTGTAGCCATATGAAAAAAATCTTTCCAGAATTTATATCTTCCAAAATTTTAAATAGAAAAATTCAAGTCAAATTGTCAAAGGCTTTTTCTTCATCTAAACAAAACAGGACAGTTTGCATTAAATGTTTTAGTATAAACAGCACAATTTTGATATTTTTTTTAATTATTTTGAAGGTAAAAATCTACATTGATCTTCATGAATAAATTCTTGCTAAATTATCTTCAATCTATCAATACACAATTTATATACAATAATGATTTTGGTCGATAATTTCTTATTAAAGTCTTGTCCTCTTTAGATATTAGTGTTGTATTAGCTTCTAGCATTTTTCCTCCCCATAAAATAGAAATCATTGTATTTGGAGAGGTTGCAAAAGTTCCTCCTCAAAATATTTATAATAACTTAATAAGATAAAATAACATTTATTGTCATTTTTCTATAAAAGTTTAATGATAAATACTTCTGTGGTAATTTTCTTTTTTATCATCTAGAATAGTCTGTGTTTTCTCTTGATTCTTTTTTTTGAGTGCAGTATTAAGTTATATGAAAATAACCTCTAAAAAAACTATTTGTGTCCCAAACTATTCTTAAACCAGTGTCTATATTTAATTTGTTTTTTTACAATCCTTCACTGTTTCTTCTTTGCATTACAGTATTTATTTTAATCTCCCTCTAAATCAAAATTTCAAATTTTACTGATAAAGTTCTTTGAGATCCAAATCATAATCTATTCTTGAGAAGGCTCTATATCTTTCAGAAAAGTAGATACTCTAGAATTGCCATTTTTCTGTTTCCACACATCCACTAAATTTACATTTGTCATCAAATAAAATATAGTTTTAATAATTTATTTTGAGTAAGAAATTTTCTAATGATCTAGCTAGATGTTAGAAAAAAAATCATTCCAATACCCGATTCCAATACCAATTTTAATTTCTCCTTGAGTTTATAAAAAGTCAATTTGGGGCATGAATTCTCAACACCCCATAGTCTTAGCTCCTTGTAAGTAAACTTCTATCTCAATAAATCTATTCTGTTCAGTAGTCAATAGGTGTTCTGGTTTTAGTTGAGGATTGATATATAGAACAACTCCATTTCTTTTCTTTTTATTCCAGCTGAAATAAATTTTTATCCAAATGTTTATAAATCAAATAATTTTCTTTATAGGATCTGTTGTAGGCAAATATATTTTGTTTTAATTTTTTTTAAGTACTGGAAAAATATATTAAGCATCTGTTCCATTAATATTTTATGATAGACATTGTAATCATAATTAAAAATTTAGAAAAGTCAATATCTATAGGACCTAATTCAGAATTATTTCTTTCAGATTCCTTCTGTGTCTCTTGTAATCTTTTTTTGAGGATCTTTTTCAACTCCAACTGATCATAATTTTGCAATCTTTTCCTTCCCACCAATTTAGTATTCTTTTACACATTTGTTCTGCATTTTCAGTTTTGCTCATTTTCTCAGTATGATCAAATCACATCAATATACTTCTCTCTATTTTATTCCACTAATTATCTATAAATATATTTTGTAACAATCTAAATCAGAGGTCACCAATCGGTGGTCCGCAGTGCACCCAGGTGGAGGAGCTGCTCTGGAATGACCAATGGGCCAGCTCTGGAATATGAGACTGCCCTGGCAGCTCGTGGTAGGGCTGGAAATCTCCGTAGAGCACGGGTGGGCAAACTATGGCCCGCAGGCCACATCCGGCCCGTTGGTCTGTCCAATCCGTCCTGCCCCCGAAAAAAAATGGCTGGGCGTGGCGTATTGCCCTGCGCCGCGTGGCTCCCAAAGCTGCAAAACAGTGCGGAGCGCTCTCGGGGTAGGAAAGAAAAGAAGAACTTTGCAAAGGCCTTGGCTGGGAGTTCGAAATCACCTTCGAGTGCGACCTCTCCGAAGGTGAGTCCCCGCCGATCCCCCCTTTTTTTCCGGGGCTTCCAGGCTTAAACTTTGCAAAGGCAAAGTTTGCAGGCGGGAGCGTCTTCCTGCCGAGGAGTGGGAAGGGTTCTGCCTGGTGGGCGGGCGGGATGCTTGGAGCCACCTAAAGCTAGGCCGCTGCTGGTGGAGCCTTGCCCTGCCTTGGAGCCCCGTTTCCCGGCTTGGGGGTCCTGCTCGGACAGCACTTTAAAAGCCTGCTCCCAGCCCCCGAGCAACTTCCCAGCAACTTGAGGCTTGCTTTTTCCTCGCGGGCGCTCGCAAGGAATATATTCTTATATATAATTTGCTGCATTTTATAATGGGCCCTTTATAATGGCCTTTTATAAAATTGGTTCGGCCCTCGAACACAGATCTGATTTTCCATATGGCCCCCGACAGAAATTAATTGCCCACCCCTGCCGTAGAGGGAGGCAGATGCAATTTGCAGCTTTGCAGGTAGTGCAACATACAAGGAGTAGCACAGCTCTCACCACCCGGAATGAGGGTAATAGTGCTATTGCAGAAAAGGGGGTGGGGATGGTAGCATAGGCGGGCTGAAGCAATGAGTGTTGGCAATTTGTGGCTCTCTCGTCTCCCTACTGTGGCTTCCTGTCGGCTGAACCCACCATTGGCTGGGCCTGGCACTTGCCCACCCCTCCCACTCATTCCTTGCCTGGCTTGAGAAGGGAAGGACAGGAGATGGAGATTCGCTCCATATTCCAGGGTGGGAGCAAAGCTTCATTTCTTGCTGGGTAACAAGTGTTTCTTCCAGCCCTTGTTGGTGCTGCGCAGCTGGGAGATGTGTGACTTCCTCTCCTCCTCAAGACCCTGGCTGGCCCATGAGATGAAAGAGAGAGAGAGAGAGACAAAGAGATGAGAGAGAGAGATGAGAGATACAGAGAGACTTGAGACAAAGAGATGAGAGATCCTGGTGTTTTGTTTTCTGTGGGAAACAGGTCCAAATTGAGTGTTCAAGGTTGCAGAAACAGGTGGCCAAATGCCTGAAGGACCATCCTGTCACTGAGAGTTCATGTGCTTCAGCAAGTGGTGTGCTGGATTCATATTAGTGGTCTGCGGGATTTAAAATTACGAATTTAGTAGTCCCTGAGGTCCAAAAAGGTTAGTGATCCCTGATCTAAATTCCCTAACAGGTTTAAGGCTTTTTAAACTCTTGTTTCAAACTCAGTACTCCTATGTTAGGTTAACTAGTTTCCACAAGATGGCAGTCTTCAAGCTTTTTCAAATGTGCCATTAGCAAAGGAGTAGACATGCTGTCAATTTTTTTTACTAGGCATTTACAAATCTCTGAAATATTTCATTTTTTAAAAAAGGATTCTTTTGATCAGAGTCAAATTGCTGTTTGGCATTAATTTTTGAAATAGGTCTCTAATATTATTTCAAGATTTCAAGTATTTCAAAATCACAGTTGTCTCTGTTTTTATTCTTTCTTAGAATGGCTTTGCAAAATATGTATTTAAAATAATTTCATATTCGGTTATTTTGCCAATGCCTTAAAACAGGTGTGTCAAACTCGATTCCCTTGCAGGACGCATCAGGAGTGTTTGCCCTCAGGGCCCCCGGTGGGGCATGGCCTGGTCATCGTGGCTGACTGGGTGGGAATGGCTAGATCTGGGGTGTTTTAAAACGGACTAAAGTTTTCCTGCACCATCAGGTGGCGCACTTCAGCCTTTTTCTTATTAACTTTTATTGAATATAATATTTTTATTAAGTTCGCTAATTTCAATCATTAGCTATTCTTTTCAACACTCTCAATTCCAGCATTTAGTTACGCCTTTAGGTGCCCACAGTTCAATATATGTCCAGTTTAGTTTTTAATCCTTTGTTGTGTTAATGTATTTTCCTTTAAATTTCTCCTCCAAATTAGTCCAATAGAATAATCAAATCCAAATTTAAAAACCAATTTCTTTCCCACTTTCTCTGGTCACCGCTTCCACACACTTTCCTCCAAAATAGCCCTTTAATTTGATACCAGGGTACCTCAAAAATGATATCCTTTGCCTGGTTCACACTCTGCTTGCTACTTCTCTCTCCAGCACAAAACTTAGTTTCCCGGAGTGTTCTTCATCTTGGTGGTAGCCATTTTGGGACCACCACTGCAGCTTGCCTTTGGAAGGGATTTTTCTGTCGGAGAGGGGAGTTGCAGCTCCCCTCAACCATCTAGGCGATTCCCCCCTTCTTCACCACCCCACCAGGGTTGCTCTGGTCGCGATCGGGACCCTCCAGCAAGTGAGCTCGGGCGATACCGCGCAGGTTCGCGGATTCGCACCGACTTTGACGAGGAACAAACTGGAAGTCCTTGCTTTAAATATTTTCGAATAGTAACGTTTTATTGCTTTTCTGCTATAAATTTAAAAAAACAATATTTGAAAGGTTGAGCATTTTTTTCAGGATGTGAAAAGAGGAATAGGATTATGATACACTGCTTACTGGAATGGCTAAATTCCAACAGAGTTTGTTTTCCATAATGCTGTGAAAAATAAATGTGAGAATTAAATGCTTCAGTCTAAATAACAGCGCGGTTCCAGCATGCAGTAGTCATTTTAATATAAGAATATTGATGATTTTTCAGGGATCTGTAACTAAGTGAAAATGAAAATGTTTGTGTAGGATTTCTACATTCAGAAGAAATAACATTCATAGATCTTATACAGATATGTTTCTATTTGATATTTAGTAATTGGCAAAGATTCACCTTGGGAAAAAACTTCTTCAGAAGTCTTCAAGATGTTGAAATTCATTCTGTATAATAATTCTTAATAGTTCTAGTTCTATAATAGGATATTTAAAAAGAATGAATTGCTTTAATTTTGTGGAATTGTCTTGTGAGTCCTCCAATTAATAAGGATTTCTGGCAACTTCTCAGTTCAGTTGCTGCTTTCCCTTTTTGATATGGAATATTCTTTTTGAGATTAATGCAAATCTACTTGATTATTTATTAAACTTGTCTGCCACCTGATTCAATGGAATCTGGATGACAATTATAACAAATAAAAATGCAATATAATAAAATCCATAAAACATAAATAAAGGTAAAAGAAAGCAAAAGAAAAGAAGTGAGAGATTTCATTCTCACTTTCCAAAGACCTAGGTGAATAGCCAGGTTTTCACATTTTTTTTAAACACAGCAAAGTGGGGGCCATCTGAATCTTTGGGAAACTTTATTCCAGAAGGTAGATGCAGGTTGCAGAAGGTACAGTTCCGGAGATTGAGAAATGACATTGTTTAATTGAAGGAATCCAGAGCATGTCAACCCTACAAAATCAAATTAGATGGGTAGATATTGTAGAAAGCGTCTTAGCTGTACCTTTCTTTTCTCATGCACTTCAAACTCTCCTGATTTTCTCTTTATTTTCCACCACTTCATTCTTTCTGCAGATAATTTTATCTATTTCTGGTTTCCATTATTTTAAAATTGTATACAGTAGCCATTCACATCCATGATAGTTTGATGTATGTTATGCTATAGTGTTAGAACTGGTAGGCTTTAAAACACGAAATTATCTTCAAGACCTACAGTCTTTTTACATTTTCCATCTACAAGCATGAAGGAACTGCATGAACTGTTTCAAATCCAAGTAGTTCTCAGCTTACAACCATTTGTTCAGCAACCATTCAAGGTTGTGATGCCATGGATTGAAGACTTTTTAAGACCGATGCTCAAAGTTATGGATTTTGGAGCACCTTTATGATTACATGATCATACTAGGAGACTTGGTGGCCCATGTGCCCTTAAAATTGCAGAAGCACTGCAACTCACCCCATCTGCCCCTCCTCTCCCTCCTCCATATTTACCGTTGTGGCTCCCCCGCTTACTTTTGCCGCCATCTTGTTCCTATTGTTGGCAAGGTTGGGCTGGCCCCCTCCGTTTACCGGGCCATATATGGCTAGCTTTGCATGCTAAGGAAGAAAAGGCCTAAAGGAACTCAAGCATGGCAAAATATCCCTTTGTGCTGGAGAAAAGAAGAAAAAAGCTGAAAGGAGCCTTTTCTGCAATGAGCTAGACAGAATTTGGGCTACTCTTGGTTTTTTTTCCTTTTTCACAAAGCTAAACCCATATAACTCAGGAACGTCGTGAAAAAGGACATTTTGGTAGATTATTTCATTAAGCTGCTTTGTGCTTTATTTTTTTTGCCATGTGAAAACCTGCCAAGGCTTAGGCATACCTTGTGAACAACAGGAGCAAGAGTTGAAGGTCAGCTATGCTGGGGGATGGCAGGGTGGCAGGAGATTAAGAATGCAGGTTTGTGAGGCTAACTGACAGAGATAGGGCAGCTGCAGCTTTCCATGGTGTGGCAACAAGCTGTGTTGAAGCCATGTGCTTCTATGACTGCTTGCTACCACACAAGAGATATCGGGGTGGGGTGGGAAGATAACTGGTTAGGGAGAGTTGGAAGCAGTCCCTTTCCTTACTGAGACTTGAGACTGAGAGGGATGAAGCCCAGAATGGCTTGGATTGGGATGGGTTCTTGGTAATAACTAGCAAAATTTGTTTAACAGCAAGGCAATTGCTAGGATTGTAGTCACTAAGTGATGTGGTTATATATCTTTTGCTTTATGACCAAATTTTTTAGCAACCAAAATATCTATTTGTGATTGTAAGTTGAAGACTACCTGTATTTTTATTGGAATTCTGTTTCTTCTGATGTGTACATTATCAATAATTACTCTTCTTCCTGATGTATAAGGTCAGAAATAAAAAGCTAGGCCATAACCCAAAAATTTCTTACAGGTCAGGGCTTCAAATTTTTGCTCCTAGAGGAATTAGCATAAAACCAGATGAGCTTGCTTTGTTTGATAATGTGTTATTATGATCCTTTGTTGTTTTTACCTTATTTTCTTTGTTATCTATTTTGATATTTAGAAGTTGCAAGGATCTTTGGAGGTTGCATATGGACAGACTAATGAAGCAGAGAATTCAGAAGCATTTGAAGAGTTCTTTGAATGGAAGAACGCTAGGTTGGAGAAATTTAGTCGAATTAGGAAAGTTACAGATACTTCCTTACAAAATCTTGTATTAAATTTCAGCAAGATAATTCAGGTAAAAAAAATATGTCTTATATATTAAAAAAAGCTTTGTGTTCAAATCTGCAGCTAATCTATATTTATATTGAAAGTCTGTGATGGAGGTTCTGGTCTATTTTTTTTTAGATTTTTTGGATCAGATAAGTTTACAACTTTTCAGCACTGCAACTAATAGTCATCTGGAGAGAAAGTATTCTCCAGCATGTTGATTGGAGAATCCATGGATGGGTTGACACATGCCTTTCTGCCTGGAGACTGAGTCCTTTTCTTTTGCCACACCCCTTATTAAGTGTCACTTTCCCCAGTTCACGACTCAGTCTTGCCCTAAGAGGTTGTGGCAAAAGATTGGCTCGTATTCTTAGATCAGAAATGCTGGAAAGTCAAATTTGAACATTTTTTTCGGCTGTCAGGTTTGATTCACAGCGCTTTTGAAGCACCATGGAGGTTTTTCTTGGCTTTTTCTTTGTTCAGTGTTTGTCTGTAGCCACAGTTAGTCGCCAGGCTCACAGCTTTGAGGGGAGTAATTTCCCACACGAGAGCAGCATGCTGTTTGCCTGAGGTGTTGCTAGCCCTGGCGCTGCTGTTTGAAGTGCTGCAGCCGCTTCTCAGCTGTTTTTCAGGCTTTTATCTCTGATCTTGCAGCTTAGCGGTTTCTTTGTGATCCACTTATTTTTATGGTCCCAGGCTGACTGCCAGCCCTCTCAGGGACTCTCAGCTGACAAATTTACCAGATCATTTCCTCATTGTTCAGAAAGCTTAGAGAGAAGCGTGTCTACAGGGACTGTTTATTTTATTTATTTATTTGATTTGATTTATCAATCGCTTACAAGATAATAGGTATAAGAATAAACATAGTTATGAATAAATGAAATGGATACATATAAGAAAAATAAAAGAAACAATAGGACAGGGATGGTAGGCATGTTGGTGCACTTCTGCACACCCCCTACAGACCTCTTAGGAAAGGAGTGAGGTCAATAGTAGACAGTCTAAGGTTAATGTTTTTGGGGTTTGGGAAAGAAACCACATAGTCAGGTAGAGTATTTCAGACATTGACCACTCTGTTGCTGAAGTCATATTTCCTGCAATCAAGTTTGGTGCGGTTAACCTTGAGTTTGTATCTATTGTGTGCTCTTGTGTCGTTATGGTTGAAGCTGAAGTATTCATTGATAGGTAGGACGTTGCAATGTATAATTTTATATACTATACTTAGATCGGACTGAAGACGGTGTAGTTCTAGCTTTTCTAGGTCTAGAATTTCAAGTCTGGTGGCCAAGGTATTCTGCAATGAGTAGAGGAGTGGAGAACTCTTTTTGTGAAATATTTCTGGACTTTCTCAGTTGTATTAATATCAGATATATAATGTGGGTTCCAGACTGATGAGCTGTATTTGAGTATTGGTCTGGCAAATGTTTTTTATGTTCTAATTAGTAGTGTAATATTGCCAAAGAAAAAGCTACGTAAGATTAACAACTCTTAATGCCTTTTTGGCTATGTAGTTACAGTGGGCTCTAGCACTTAGATCATTTGAGATGAGAATGCCAAGGTTCTTTACAGTTTGGATCATCAACAAGATCTTGATTATTCAGCTTGTATTTTCTGATTTTTTTTGCCAATATGTAAGATAGAGCATTTTTTGTTGCGATTTGAAGTTGCCATTTGTTTGACCATTCTGATACATAGTTAAGGTCTTTTTGAAGGGTAGCAGTATTGTCTGGTGTTGAATAGCTTTACATCATCAGAGAAGAGAACGCAGTTGCTCTTAATATGATCACAATTTATGTAGAATATGAAGAGAATTGGTCCTTGAACACTGCCTTGGGGGACACCACTGTTGACAGGTACAGAATTTAATAGGATGCTCCTATTTTTGACCATTTGTTGTCTGTTTGACAGGAATGCTTCTATCCAGTTATGTAGGTGTCCATAAGATTTTAGTTTTAGTAGTAGTTTGTTGTATACCACTGAATCAAAGGCTTTACAGAAGTCTATGTAGATTGCGTCTATTACTTTGCCCTGATGGAGTTGTGTAGTCCATATGTTTTTGCAGTGTAAGAGTTGCAAATTACAGGATAGTTTTTTTCTGAAACCAAATTGTTTGTTAGAGAGTAGGTTGTTTGTCTCTAAGTGGAGGATGATGGATTGGTTAATAATTGATTACATGACTTTACAGGTAATGCAGCATAAAGAGATTGGTCTGTAATTTTCAACTAGGCTGGAGTCTCCCTTTTTGAAGATGGAGATTGTTAGGATATGTGCAGAGTAACCCTTGCATAAAAAGGATATGCACACGGAAAACAGTTTATGAGAACAGTTATGAATAAATATACAGCCACACAGAGTTGAACAAGTTGTGTTAATGTTTCCTTGAAGAAATAGCACAGTCCAATAAACAGTCCATGTCATACACGTTTTAACAGTCCAGATATATCCAGTTATAAAGTCTTCTTACTGGTTTCATGTCTTTTACAGCAGACCAAATATCAAACCATAATACAACAGATAATCTTCGATATCAACAGAATATCAAAATAAACAGGGTTAGTCAGTATTGGTCCATAGTCAGTCAGCATCAGTATAAAGAGAGATCAGTGAAAAAGAGAAAAAGCAAGAGAAACCATGATCTGTAACTCCCTGTTATGGCAACTTGTAGCATAATTAACCAACCAGAGCACAGCATAATACATTACAGTATTTTTCCTTAAAGCTACAAACATATTTGTAGTTTATATATTGTTAACCCAACTATGTTATTTACATATACGTAACAGGGATGACTGTGGCTTGTGACCATAGGTTAGGCAAGGAGCTGGTCCTGAAAGATTTTTCAAATTTTATGCTTCAAGGTTTGGTTATTACAGTGGATAGCTTTTTTAAGAAGTAGGCACATATTCCATCCAGACCAATAGATAGAGATGGTTTTAGGTTGCGTAGTGCTTTTTCAGCTTTGTCTTCTGTAAAATTGAAATGTATTAGATCATTGTAGTTGCCTGTGGTTCGACTAGGAAATACTGGGCATGATCCATTGCTGTTTACAAATACTGAGCCAAAGAATGTGTTAAAGAGTTTGGCTTTAATGGTGTCGTCGTTGCAGTCTTTACCATTAGTTTTTTTCAGAGGTGGGATGGACCTTGAGTCTTTTAGTTTGTTGTTTACAAAATTGTAAAAAGCACGGGTGGAATTGGTGCATAGAAGGTTTTCCTCTTGTTTAATGTAATAGTTGGTGCATTCAGTCTTTATCTGGTGGCATACATTTTTGTATCAGCTTTTGAAGTTGGCAACGTGACCAGATTTGTTTTTCCACCAAAGTGTTCTCCATTGTGGTGGAGATAGCATTCAGGATTGGGTGATTAGTCTCTGCCTGTGATTGGACTGAGTCTGTCAAAATTTTGATGACACTCCCTCTACTGCTAGGGACCTCCCCAGAAATTGACTCAGTCAACTTACCTGTTGGACAATGTGTTAATTTCTTCTCCTAGCAAATTTAACAAATCCTTTCAAATTGATTGGAAAAATAGGAATAAAAACACCAATCCTGAATTCTATTGCAAGCCGAAACCAGTCTACCACTTCGACAGCTGTCAAACTGCAGCATGGCCGGAGCTTTGTCCCAGTCATTGGACTTCGGATTGGCTGAGGGCCGATCTACAAGGTACTAAGGTTCTAGTTGTGCAGGAGTTTGAATACCATCCTCACCTCCTTTCTGCACTTTGGCTTGGGTGGCTCCCAATGGCTTCAGCCATTGGAGATGCTGAGATTAAGCGCGGTAGCCTTTAAAGGGGCAGAAGACCTGCAGAGAAGAGTACAGGTAGTGAGAGTAGGTTTAGGAAAGTGAAAGACTGCAGCGTGATCAGGGTGACTTCCACAGCCACATCTTTCTTCAACAGGGCCTCTCTCATCTAGGATTGTTGGAGTCAGAGATGAAGAATCACAAAAGGCTAGCCGCGATGTAAGGAGAATAAAGTGGGTGGCTCGACAGCCGTCACGCCCTCTAAACCCAGCAGTCGTAGAACAGATGGCTTCATTTTACTCTGCCATTTTACTCTGCCATTCCGCCTAGCCTCTGCCCCCAGGTCCTTCGCAAAGGTCCTGGCAGCACTGGTTGCACACCTGAGAACCATCCTGGTGTGCCTCCGGTGCTACCTCGACGATACCCTCATCCAATCTTCCTTGACCCAGATGGCTCAGAAAGATCTAGAAATGACAATCTGTTTTTCAGGAATAAAGATTTCCAATAAATTTTCAGAAAAGTCATCTGATACCAACAACTCGACTGCTCCATTTAGGAGCAGTGATAGACACCAGGCTGTGAGAAGTCTATCTTTCCCAGGAGCAACAGAACAGTATCAAGTCCTTAGTCACCCAAATCAGAACAGAACGCCTTGTTCCATTGGCAGTTCTCTCTCAGCTCCTGGGAAAGATGGTCTTGAGCATAGCCATTGTTCCTTGGGCCTGATCACACCTAACAACTCTGCAATGGTTCCTGCTACCATTCTAGAATGCAGGGGGTCAGCAATTCCACTTCCAAGGTCAGGGTTCCATTAGAAACAGTCAGGTCCCTCAGGTGGTAGGTGTCCCCAGCAATAGCCAGGGGAACATTGTTCAAGGAGGCCAGCCCTCTGACCCTGACCTCATGCCAGCCTGTTCGAATAGGGAGCCCATCTCCAGCAACAGTTGGCTCAAGGACAATGGTCTCAGGCAGACTTTAAGCACAACATCAATTGGCCGGAGCTCTGAGTGTTCCATCTTGCTCTTAGTCATTTCAAAGCCATGGTAGAAGGGCAACACTTATTAATCTTGACAGACAATGTGGCCACAAAAGCACATGTCAACCACCAAGAGGGCACCCATTCGAGGTCTCATGTGTGAGGTGGAGCAACTATTTCCCTGGGCAGAGGCTCACCTGAGTTTCATCAAGGCGGAGCACATCTCAGGTGTGCCAAATGTGCAGGCAGACTTTCTCAGCCGGAGCACGGTGGATCACTCCAAGTGGCAGCTGCACCCAGACATTTTCCAGGAACTGTGTGAGAGGTTCGGCTGCCCGGTCCTGGACTTATTCTCCACCCCAACGAATTCGCCACTGCCCAAATACTTCACGAGGTTTTCGGCTCCAGGAGCGGAGGGATTTGACTGGCCCAAGGGCCTGTTGTATGCATTGTCTCCTCTCCCCATCATACTGGGAATGATCAGGAAACTTCTCGTGGAGCAGGCAGAGATTTTGCTCATTGCACCCCATTGGCCCAGACTGCCGTGGCATGCAGACTATGTCAGTCTCTCTGTGTCCCAGCCCTAGAGAATCCCTCGAGACAGGGTCTCTCTCAGCCAGGGGGTCTTGGTCCATCTGGAGCCTCAGTGGTTCCAACTGACCGCCTGGCACTTGAGGATCCTGATCAGGGACAACTTTTCAAGAAAGGTGATACAGACGATACAGGCTTCCAGGAGGCTTTCCACCAACAGAATTTATAATTCTACTTGGAAGGCATTCTGCAGTTGGTATGCTAAGTCAGGTCTGGACCCCACATCAGTTTCCATCCCTCAGATCCTGGATTTTTTGCAAGAGGATCTAGATAAGGGGTTAGCCCCTAACACCATCCGAAGACAGGGTGCGGCCTTGTCTTCAGTATTGACTTATGGGACTTGGACTCCATAGCACACCATCTGGTAGTGTGCTCCTTTTTAAGGAGGGTGATTAATTTAAAGCCACCTGTACACAGGTATCTGTGGGACTTATCTAAGTCACCCTCCTTAAAAAGGAGCACACTACCAGATGGTGTGCTATGGAGTCCAAGTCCCATAAGTCAATATTGAAGACAAGGCCGCACCCTGTCTTCGGATGGTGTTAGGGGCTAACCCCTTATCTAGATCCTCTTGCAAAAAAAAAGTTTTACACGCCCTTACCTTGCCACCTTTTGAACCTCTCAGGTCTACGAATCTGCGTTTTCTGTCTTTTAAGGTCACCTTTTTAGTTGCCATCACAACGGCCAGGCGAATATCAGAACTGGCTGCTCTCTCCATAAGAGAGGAACTCTGTACCTTCCACGCAGACAGCGTGGTTTTATGTCTGGATCCCTCATTCGTCCCTAAGATCAACTCCTGTTTCGACCGGGCTCAGGAGATAGTGTTGCCAAACTTCTGTCCAGGTCCCTCTCATCTGCTGGAACAGAGATGGCACACTCTGGACGTAAGGAGGGCTCTACTCAGGTACATAAAATGGACTTTGCCTCACTGTAAATCTGAATCGCTGTTTATCTCGTTCCAACCATCTTCTCTAGGTTCAAAGGTCACTTCATCGACCATAGGCAGTTGGATAAGGACATGTAATGCAAAGATCTATGAGACACTGTCCCTTCCGGTCCCCAGATGGTTAACCACCCATTCTACCCGAAGCTCTGCAACCACAGCTGCATGGGTGACACAGGCCTCGATTGAAGAGATCTGCAGGGCGGTGACATGGTCTTCTTCATCTCCCTTTGTGTGCCATTATAAGTTGGACATTTTTACCATAGCTGAGGCTGCCTTTCGGAGGCAGGTGCTTCAGCGAGTGCATGTAGCTAGGGGGACTCAGGACCACAATCCCCGCCCTTAGGGACCTCAGGCTTTGGTATGTCCCATCCGTGGATTCTCCAATCGACATGCTGGAGAAAGAGTGTTGCCTTACCTGAATGCTTCTCAGCACTGTGATGGAGAATCCACTCCCTCCCTGGGAGGCAATCAGGTCCCTCGTCCAGCAGAGGAGGAGCAAAAGAGCCAACGCCACCAAAGAGTTCTTCAGATGACCGCGCCTTCATCGTGAACTGGGGAAAATGACAATTGACAAGGGGTGTGGCAAAAGATTAAGGTCTCAGTCTGGGTTTAGGCATGTATCAACCCATCCGTGGATTCTCCATCGCCATGCTGAGAAGAAGCATTCTGGTAAGACAATGCTCTTATTTCATTAAAAGGCAGTAAAATGTAGAAAAGTAACCTACTTCTTTTTTGCTTTGTGTACTGCAGCTGAATCCAAATGAGATAATTGTTGCTTTTGCAAAAAATATTACAATAGAAGATACAAAATGGAATATTTCATTATATAAAATAGCAATTAGTATTTGAACAGAGAATTGTTGGTCAAAAATAAAATTTTTGCTACAGTGGTCTTCAGGAGAAAATTAGTATTATGATTTAATTTACAATGACGACTGGACTGAATTCATGTCTTGCTGGGGAATAATATTCAGCTCTGATTAAAATTTGAAATGGAATCACTTCAATTGATGAAATAAAAGAATAGTGTTTTCAATGGATTTGTTCTAAAAAAAATTGAGGTGTTTCAAATTCTGTTCCATTGGCTTGGAAGCATGATGCAAACATGCCGCATGCCCTATTACACCAAGGAGAAAGCAAGATCCAGTTCTCCGAGGCAGATCAGTTTCCTTGAGTGTCTTGCCAATTGAGCTTTAGCTTATTTTTTCAAGTACTAGATAGCAAAACAAAATGAATACTTGTTCCAATTTGTCATTAAGAGTGAATAAGTGTGGCACAACTATAATGTAGCACTTCTGGAAGTTTTTCTGGTCTGTGTTGAAAGGGGATTTTCCTTAGTTGTTAAAAAAAAAATTAAGGTGATGCACAGATCAATCAACTGAACACCATCAATTTGAGTGTTGACAAGGTGCATTGGAGTGTGATGGCTTTATTTGCAAGTCAATGTTGTCAGTAATTTTTGGGAGATTTGGCTATTTATTCTTTTGCTTTCTTGCTTAAAAAGATAGATTGCTCAAGGCAGAATGGAACCCAGTCTAACACTGCAGTTTTCTCATTCGCTATTAACTGTTTGAGTAATCTTTCTGAAATTACTTTGCAGATTAATAGTACTGTAGATAACAACTTTTTGTTTGTGTCTCTTTTTCCTGTCAAGATTTTTGACATAGAATCAGCAATATTAATGAAATCCAAGGATGTAGCATTCAATGTAGATGAAGTTCTTAAGAATGTCGAACATGATATTTCACAAGAATATGACATGTTTCTAACCGTAAGCTACATTACTATATTTTTCCTTTCGCATAAAAGTTTCAAAAGTGCTTTGTTTCAAAAGGCAACAGGACTGGTTTTTCCTTGAGGAAGAACAAAATGTTTAGTTTCTCAACCAAGAAACATCATCAATTGTGATGGAGGAAAGGAGAGGTATGGAAGGATAGGTTCTGACTGGATGTTGGTGGGGAGGATGTAAAGACACTAATAAAGGAGAATATTGTAGCTCAGGCTTGACGAGAGGTCCTTGGTGCTGTTTGAGCTTGCCTGTTTTCTTGCAGATATTTCATTACCCAAACTAGGAAACATCATCTGTGCTAGCACTGATGATGTTTGTTTGTTAATTTTGTGTGTCAAGCATGCATGAGAAAGCAAGTATAAGTATGAACATAACATATATACATATAAGTATAAACAGGTATAATTATATACATAATAAATGAGTATGAATAAATAGATGGGAACAGGACAGGGATGTAGGCACGCTTTTGCGCTTACGCATGCTCCCTTACAGACTACTTAGGAATGGAGTGAGGTCCATGGTAAACAGTTTAAGGTTAAAGTTTTGGGGGTTTGTGGATGTAATAACAGTCAGATAGTGAGTTCCAGGCATTGACCATTCTGTCACTGAAATCATATTTTCTGTAATCGGGTTTGGAACGATTTACTTTGAGTTTATATCTATTGTTGGTCCATGTATTATTGCAGTTGAAACTGAAGTAGTCATTGGCAGATAGAACATTGTAGCAGACAATTTTGTTTACTAAGCTTAGTCCAGACTGTAGGCGGCATAGTTCTAAGTTGTCCAGGTCCAAAATTTCAAGCCTGGTAGCATAAGGTATTCTATTGTGAGCAGAGGAATGGAGTATTCTTCCCGTGAAATACCTCTGGACTCACTCAATTGTATTAATGTCTGTTATATAGTGTGGATTCCAGGCAGATGAGCTGTATTCGAGAATTGGTCTGACAAAGGTTTTGTATGCCCGGGTTTGCAGTACAGTGTTACTGGAGAAGAAGCTTTGCAAAATTAGATTAACAACTCTTAATGCTTTTTTGGCAATTTGTTACAATGAGCTCTAGGGCTTAGATCTTTTGAAATGAGTACTCCTAGGTCCTTGACAGAGTGAGGGTCATCTACAAGGTCGTATCAGCCCAGTTTGTATTTAGTGTTCTGATTTTTGTTGCTAATGTGTAAGACAGAGCATTTGTTGATTGAGATTTGAAGTTGCCAATTGTTCAACCATTCTGACACATAGTCAAGGTCGCTTTGTAGAGTAGCCGTACTGTCAGTGGTGTTAAATAGTTTTACGTCATCAGCGAAGAGGACTCAGTTGCTTATAATATGATCGCAAAGGTCATTTATATAGCTTAGAAAGAAAGTGAGTCCTAGAAGGCTGCTTTGGGGGACATGGCTGTTAAGTGGTGCAAGGTTTGATAGAGCACTCCTTATTTTGACTACTTGTTTCCTGTTTGACAGGAATGTAGCTATCCATTTGTGCAGTAATCCAGAAATGTTGTAAGAGCGTAGTTTTAACAGTAGTTTGTCATGTACTATTGAATCAAAGGCTTTGCAGAAGTCTATGTAAATTGCATCTATTGCTTTACTGGTTGAGTTGTGTAGTCCAAATGTTACTACAGTGTAGGAGTTATAGATTAGAAGACAAATTTTTCCTGAAACCAAACTGTTTGTTAGAGAGTAGGATATTTGTCTCTTAGTGGAAGGTAATGGATTGGTTGATGATTGATTTCATGACTTTGCAGGTGACACAACATAATGAGATTGTTCTGTAATTTTCAACTAGGCTGGGGTCTCCCTTTTTGAAGATAGGAATAACTGTGTCAGCTTTGGAAGCCATATTCCATGCTGCCACATAGCCTGAGAAAGTGGGAGGGGGGTTATTTCAATTAAGTAGCTCTAAGTAGACAAAATAAAATTCTGTTGTTAGTTTAAGGTCATTTAGTATGGCACAGGATGAAATAAGGATCTTACTTTTGGATGGATCATTATTGGGCCATGTGACGTGATGACGACCAAGGGGAGATGGATTTGTAGGTTGGGAATTGTGGAAAGCTCGAAAACTTTTAGATTCGGGATTCCACAGATGTGCCAGCTGCTCTTCTAATAAAGGTACTTTTGAGATATGTTTGTCTCAGAGTTACTGATTGGAATGGAGATTTGCTGGAACACTGCAAACTGTGGCTAAGGACCATAGGTTGGGCAAAGAGCTGGTTCTAAAAGATACCTCATAGATTGTATTTAGTGGTTTGGCTAAGGCAGTGGAAAGCTTTTTCAAGTAGAAGGCACATAATTCATCAGGGCCAATTTATGTTGCAGAGTGCCTTTTCAACATTATCTTCTGTAAAATCAATATGTAGAAGATCGTTGCAATTAGTTATGGTTCGATTAGGAAATGTGGGGCATGAGCCATTGCTGTTGACAAGGACTGAACTGAAGAACGTGTTGAAAATATTGGCCTTAACGGCTTCATCATTATAATCTTTCCTGTTAGGCCCTTTTAGGGGTGGTTTTCGAGTCTAAGTTTGGTATTTATGAAATTATAGAAGGTGCAGGTGAATTTTGTGTGTAACAGTTTTTGCTCAGTTTACTAACAGTTTGTTTGCAGTAGTAATTGGTACATTCTGCCTTTATCTGACGGCATAGTGTTTTGTAGCAGCTTTTAAAGTTACTTAGATGTTTTTAGATATTACTTAGTTTGGGTAATAAAACATCTGCAAAAAAACAAGCAAGCTCAGAGAGCATGGAAGGATGGAAGAATGGTGTGTGCGTGTTTGTGGAGGCAACAAATATAATCCTCCCCACCCACCCCATCCAGTCATAATCTATCCATCCCAACTATTGTTTGATAATTGTCAAGATTGTGGCTGCTCCTCATCTTGTTTTCCAAGGTTATTCTCATAGTGTATTGCCATAGCAGTCTGCCACATTGTTTACTATTTCCCAATCATGGAATGAATACTGTATATCATGAGGCACTACACAGGAGTTTTGCAGTGATTCAGTTTTGAAGAGTACAAAGCCATTGTTGATAACTCTTCAAAGAAGCTGTATTTCCTCTTGGATTCATTTGGTTATTGTCTACAGCTGCAGCACAATCTCAGAAAAAATACATAAAATTTAAGAAGATGCTGACAACTATAACTGGCGAACAACTATAACTAAACCACCCTTTCATTCTCAAACCTAGATTTCCAGGTAGCTGGAATAAGAGTTGTGCTGAATATTGATAGCACCTTTTAATGTAATAAGATTTTTGGAATACTTTCATTACCTTTACGTGGATTAAAAACTTGTATAAACCCCAGGTCTTTTTATGCAAAGCAAGTTGCTGTTAGTTTCTTGAAAAAGATTCCAACTTGCTTCTCCATTTTTCTTCAAATTTGCAGAAAGGAGCCAGGAATTTCTCACCTGTATTTAAAAATATGTGCATTGCATCTTTTAGTGAAAGTTTCCTTCCAAGACATCTACTAAACATTAAATCATGAATTAACTCCATTGTAAGAATATATTATGGTGCTTGTAGTAACATATTAAAACCATAAAGCTAACCATAGCAGTAAAAAAATAGCATAGCATACAGGTAGTCCTTGCTTAACAACTATTTCTTTAGTGACTGAAGTTTCAATAGTGCTGAATCAATAGTATATACCACTGTTCTTGAAATTAGAGACATTGCAGCCTCCTTGCAATCAAAATTTCTCTTTTAGTCTGATTCTGTTGCAAAGGTGTGTCTTCTTTATAGAGCTCATCTTCAGCCTTGTAACCTGCTTGATCAAGAAGTATGGATATAAATTGTGTAGAAGATTATGTTTCTGTTATTTGTATTTGTGAGAGTTCTTAAAAATGGTGTACTTTCTACTTCAAACAAAAATTGATATTTTTCCATTTAGAATGCAATTCATATTTTAAAAACCAACAAATGTTGCAATTTTGTTATAGATATTTAATGGTACTCTAATTTCTTTCAGGAGCTAGATGAAAAAGACAAAAAAATAATCTTAAATATGTATAGTATGATTATGAGGAAGATCCTTCAAGAACAAGATCTCATAAATAAAGTGAATCAAAAATATCTTGAAAGTTGTGAGGTTAGTTGTCTACCTGCTTCTCTGTCATATCCTAAAATGTAGAAAGTTACTAACAGCTTTTTAAAAGATACTTATGCATCTTTTTCAATAACTTCAGTAGGAAAAAAACATTTAATGAGTAATGTATATATAATAGTACAACCCAACCTTTATGTTTGATTTAAAAATGTGATCTGAAAATGTTAACACATTGTAATGCAATTTGTGTATAAGGAATAATATTCCTAAAAGTATAGGAGCTTTTTCCATTTAAAGAAACCTTTTCTCATTAATAGTGTGTTTCTTTTTCAGTTCAGAAACCAGATTGTGAAGTGGCTAGATGTAACTCCTAATATTGATGATTTGTTACTGATAAAGAAGAGAGTGAAAAACATAAAGGCTCAGTTGAGGTGGAAATTAGTAGAAAAAAACAACTTGGAAGAAGTATGGCAGTGCTATTTTGATGTTTCAATATTATTCTATTTCTTATTTTCCATAAGAAATGGTGGGTGGACATAGAAAATGTTGCTTTCTAGCTTGGGAAAAATGTTGTTATGGACATAATTTATTCATGTAAATCCAAATGAAAGCCTAAAGGGATTTATATTAGAACAAAATTGAAAAGAAACAAAAATGGCAGATTCCTGAACAATTTAATTTGCACATAGTGTTTCACATTGCTAATACTCCTCATTCTTGATTATTGTAATTTGAGAAAGTACACAATTTCTACACCTATTATTGATTATGCAGTTAAAAACAACAGATACTCCATTTGTTTTGTATCAGGTTATCATAATTCCAAAACGGATACATTAAACAGTATGAGATTGGAAAGCTGTAAAATGTTGATTGTACAGTTAATGTAGAATTGGGATGAAAGAGTTTTGAGGAGCATACAGGCATTAAGAAGCATGAAAGGAAATGCTGAATAAGAAAAAAAAACCCACTCAGAACTATATAAATACCCAGAGAAAATTTTAGTTAGAGGGAATTATCACCCTCTAGGATTAATCCAAATGTCTGTTTCATTGAGCATCCAAGTTCTTATAATGACACATCTGACAAATTAATCAGAGTCATGTGACGGTAACAAAAACTTGTCAGAGTGTGCACAATGTGACTAGGTGAGACAACCCAGGAGCAAATACCCCTCTTATAATATAGACTCTTAAAGAGGTATCGGCCCCCAAAATCTTATTCCAGCATTATATAATTTTAGCATCATTACAATATTATAGCAGCTGGTCAGCTACTAAATCATCATTACCCTGACACTTTTGTCTTTTCTTGAAAATCTCCAGCTATAGAGCACCCACAATTTGGAGGTGCAAGCTGTCCCATTGATTGTTTTTATTGTCAGGAAATTTCTCTGATTTGGATCTCTCTTTAACAAGCTTCCACCCATTGTGCTGCTCTAGGTGTTTAGAGAATAAATCAACCCTTCTCTTGATTAGCCCTTAAGTACTGGAAGATAACAATCAATTCATCCCATCATTTCTCTTAAGTAGGCTAGATGTATCTACTTCTCTTAAGTGTTCATCACACAGTTCAGTTGCCAGGCTTCTTATCATGTTCGTTGCTCTTCTCTACACATTTTCTAAGATAGCAGCATCTTTTTTGCATAGTGATAACCAGAATTTGATGCAGTATTCCAAGTGTGGCTTCACTAGTGCACTAGTGATAGCATCGTGTCTTGTGATCATGATGATGCAGCTTTGTTGATGCATTGGCTTTTTGTAGCTGACTAAAACTCTTTCATTGGATAGTGTCTGGTAGTCATATGAATGGAAGGTACTGTGGAGGCCATGAAGGTAAGAAATCATTCCACCTATGGCTGGAATGGTTGCCAAGCCATTATTGAAAAACCTGATGATGGAGCATCTATAATTCCAGGATAAGGTTTTTCCACTGCTTAATAGCTGTTATTTGTAAACCACTCAGAAAGTGTTGAAAGTACTGTGAAGCAATATCTAACTCTTGCTAATATTATAGTTAGGACATTTTTCCTGATTTGAGTTTGGATCCTCTAGTGGGTTCTCAGGTACTGAGGAGAATAAATCTATAAACTTGTAGACTGCCGAGTCTACAATTCCCAAACTTGTGTCTGGGATGCTTAAATTTGGACTTAACTACTTAATAAAGGCGACTGCTAAATATTATCGCGGCCTAACAGCACTGTGATTATTAGTGTCCTTAGAGACTCAAAAATTAAGTTTTTAAAAAAACAGTAAACCAAGAAAGTTTGAGGAATCTCTGTTCTAAGTCTTTTTCTAAGTCCTCATTGCTCTTCTTTGTACTCTTTTGAGTTCCATGTTGTCCTCCTTAAATTGTGGTGAGCATACTGGACAGAATATGTCTAGATGCAGCATATAATAGAATGGCTTTGTTTTGATGAATAAAAATGTTTCTTAATCCTTTTCAACAGGTGGTTATGAGAGATGTATCATATTAATTCTTATTTGGCTATGAAATTAAATTTATGTTGCTTCTGATATTACCTTTTGTCTTCAATACGTAAACAAAAAAACCTGAAAGAAATTGGTATTAATTTGATCAGACAAAAAAGAAAGCACATTTGATATGATGACTAGAATTTAATGTAATTTCAAATACAAGAACAGGGAATGGGAAGGTGAAGAGAAAAAATAAGTAGTATACTAAATTTATGGTGGGTATATTACCTGGTAAAAATAAGACTAATCTTTTGAAGTAGTAATTTTTAAATTTCTGCAGTCTGATAATTACAGCAAGTCTGAAATGGTGAAAATAAGCGAAGAAATCAGTGTTCTGCAGAATAATATGTTTCAAGAAATATATAACGAACAAGAAGAATATGTAAGTATTCATATTAGCATCTTTACAACAAGTCATTTTCTGGTCTGAAATTCATTTTAAGTAATACTGTATATGGTGTAATGTCTATGAAATTAAGAGATGTCAGAGTTCCCACATTTCAAGCAATATTGTGGTCTTCTGTGTCTTAATAAACTAAAGTCTAGTAGAGCCAAATTATACATATTTTTCATATTTATAAATGAATATGGATAAAGTGGGAAAATTGTATTTTTGTTCATGTTCCTCCTAAATATATTTCCAGGAAGGAAAACTTGAATATCTCAGTCAATATTTTTGATTGACATTTTATTTATTTACATAAAGAATTTATGAGGTTGCCCACTTCATCGTAGACAACTAAGAATAAAGAAAAAACAAAATAAAAATAGAAGAAAATAAGTAATTTCCTCAATTATAATTAACGTTTGATGCAAATAATAGTTTAATGTGAAATAATTTTTAAATTTATGCAATTAGTCTGATGATTGCAGTGCTTTTAAAATGGCAAAACAAATACAATGCTACTGAGGCTGCAAACAAGGTTCAGATAAAATGCACCCCAAAGTACACATATTGGGCTCAGCTAACATCCTGGCCCTAATGCCTTTGAGAAGAGTCAAGTCTTCAGGCATTCCAAGAGCCTACCAAGTCAGGACCATCTGAATCTCAGAGAGAGGCTGTTCCATAATACAGATTAGAAAATTGTGCTCTGGTTCACACCCAGAATATTTGGCATTTTTAAGTGTTCTATTATATGGAACTACAAAATAGCAACAGATGGAAAGTAGATGTATTTTAGAGAAGTTAGTTGAGGATCAGTACTTGTGCCCCCTTTTCTCTGAAAAACCGCTTAATTTGGGGAACAAAGTTAGTGATGGGTACTACCACACATACACAAGGATTTTCTCCCTCCCTCCCTCTCCTCCTCTCTCTCTCTTTTGAGAATCGGAGTTTGTTGCTACATTTGGTATCAGTTACCATCAAGAAGAATCTGATGGTTCTCCATCTTACAATTATGTTGTAAACACAATTAAAATAGAATTTATACTTTGGCTTTGTTTTTAAGATTACAGACAAGGATGGTTGTGCAATTATCCATACTTTGAATTCTCATTCCATGTTTAGTTAAAATAGCTACAAACAATTAGAGATGCTGTTTTAGCAAAGAATGGAGACACAAGTGGAGCTATGATGATGCCATTTGTTTGGGACAAAGAGATTCTACTAACACCAAATAGTTAAATATTCTGCACTGAAGTTGGAGGATAAAGAAAGACTTTTAATTATCCATTAATATTTACTTGCTCATTGCAGATTCACCAATGTGATACTACTGAATAAACATGCTTCCAACATATTACTGGATATTGTTTTAATATTGTGATTGTTACTGAAGACTTTTTTTTCTAACTTAGGAAAAGCTTATTCATCTAGTTCAAAATGTTTTCCCTGAGCTGCCATTCCTTCATCCTGAAGCAGGAATTTTGAAGTATATGGTGAGTTTTATATTTTCTTTACAAAGCTAAGATTAATCGATATACAGCTGCGTGAAAAAGTTCTGCACGCTTTCAGTTTTAAGCTGTATTTACATGTTTAATCAATTTTTCACTCATAGAAACTACTCAAAATTAGTACTTTAATGAAAATTTCTGTAGTCGGATTGAGATGCATAATTTTTATTAATATAACCAAAGTCTTTTTAAGATTTTGAGTGAGTTTATGTGCTAAAACAAACACAACTTGCATTTTCGAGAATGTTAGGATCGAAAGTAGCCAATCAGTAGCGAGCTTTGGCTGACCAATCAAAATGCACAGAGGCTAAATCTGTGAGCCAATCAACGTTGTTATACTCTCTGGCTATAAATAGGCATGAAAAGTATCGAGAAATTTAATTTAGCTCTGATTGCGGGCAAGGTTGAAGGCCTTTGTTTTCATCAGTACGGAGCAGCAGCATTGCATCATTGTGCTTCCTAAAGAGGGTTACTCCTGTACAGAAATAGCCAAGAGAATTAAATGCCATCGCATCACAGTGAGCAGAGTGGTTGAAAAATCAAATAATGGTTCAGCTGATGATAGGTTCTGCTCTGAAAGACCAAGAAAGTGTACAAAACAGCAAGATCGGGCTCTGCAACGCATTTCAATGGCTGACAGGAAGCTTACCTCACCTCAGATTTCAAGAATTTGGGGTGAAACATGTGATGTAAAAATGTGCACAAGCACAGTGCATCGCAGACTGCTTGCCAGAGAGCTCAAAGGCTGCAGGGCTCGAAGTAAACCTTTGCTCACAGATGGTCACCGCTTGTCGATGTGCGTGGGCCAAGAAGTATGCCAAATGGACCAATGAACAGTGGGCAAACATCATATTCAGTGACGAGCAATTTCTACTTGACTGGGAATCAGTGCAATAAGCATGTCAGAAGATTTCCAGATGAAGAATTTAGGTCATACTGCCTGAATCTATCTGAAGCATCCATTGCACGTGATGATCTGGGGCTGTATCGCTGCTTCTGGTATTGGTCGGATACAAATTGTGCAGGGAATCATGAATTTGAAGCAGTATGTTGAAATCCTGGAAAAGACCATGCTTCAGTTCAGCAACTTGTAGGGAAGGACTTTTACTTCCAGGATGAAACACTCCTTGTCATCGAGCCAAGTCCGTCCAGCAGTGAATGAAGAAGGATGGTGTTCAATTCGTGGATTGGCCAGCTCAGAGTCTGGATTTGAACCCAATTGAGAACTTGTGGGCTAAGATTGGTTACGAAATAAGCAAGAAGCATCTGAAGATCAAGCAGGAGCTGACTGAATCCTTTATTGCAGTCTGGCACCACACTGTCACCAAAGATCACGTGCAAAGGCTTATAAAGTCTATGCCGAAGCAATGCCATCTAGTGATAAGCAATAAGGGCTGGCCAATTTTGTTAGATAGTCAATGGGGAAAAATGATAGAGTAGAACTGGAAGATGGGAAAATATGGAGCAGACACATAGACCAACTCCGGGGACGATTGGAGCGGAATCTGAATGACCAGAAAACCTCAGAAACAGAAACGCAACATAGAGAGGTAAGACCAACCCTAACAACTACAAATACTGAAAACACAAGCCTCCCCACTCTAGGGTGGGACTCAAACTCAAGTACACCGCAGGATAATTTAGCTGAAGAGGGGAACATCCAGCAAAGGAACTCAGAGCCCTCTGTTCCATTGGAGCCAGCCCCACCCCTAAAAAAACCTTGAGGCTGGCTCTGGTGTGACAACAGACCCAACTAGTCAGGTTGCCACCACTGTGGGGGGGGGGGTGAACTGTGAAGGTCCACTCGCACTCACAGGAGTCCCTCCTACTTACGTGATTGTCTCTGAGTGAGAGCTGATCGGATGAATGCTTCTTCCAAGAGGGGAGGGGTGTTTAGTCAATGGGGAAAAGTCAGTGATGTCAGACTTCCCCCATTGGTTCATTTTCCAGGCAGGAAAATGAACAGCCATCAGTGGCTGAAATTGTGGACAGAAGCCTGTAAAAAGAACAGCAGGCACACCGGGTGGCAGTCTTTTGTTCAAAGCTAAATAAAGAAATCCTTTCCTTCTACCGTTGCCCTGCCTCTTCAATCTAGCCCATATCTAATAAACTTCATATTAGTAACCATGTTTGGTTACCTAAATGGTCCTTTTCAGGCCACAAACAAAACCCTAGCATCAGCCTTAGTAATTGTAACATGTATGCTACTGGGTATGCATCAGTTAATGTTTTCATAGTCGTCATAAGCATGCATTGCAGGTATGCAAGAAAATTCACAATTCCCATCAAAACAGTACCAAATTGCAAAAAGCTTATGCTTTTCACTTAAAAACCACCAGTATTTATTTAAATATAACAATATTTGCATAGCAGTTAACATAAAATACCATAAAATCAATGGCCTATCTAAAAAAATGTCATAAACTGTAAACTGTGCAGGACTTTTTCACACAGCTGTATCTCTGAGAAAAGCAATTTGAGTATTGGATGTGCATTAGCAATCCTAAAACAAAAGCAATGGGCTGAAAAGTTGATCGAGCAATCTGAAACAAAGAGGGAAACAAAGAGCTGGCTTTACTTTTTACAAGAATTGCTATTGTGTGTTTCAGAGGCAGGACTATAAAAGACTCTTTGTCTTATAATCAACCTGTTATACTAGGCCTTCTGAGTAAATTGAACGACACAAAGCTTTTACCACCATAAGTGGGATGCGCACAAATATTACGTACATGATCCAAAACTGATAATAAGCTGTTTTAATTTGTATTCTCCAGAAATCAGGAAGTTTGATTGTCAGTTTAGAACATAATCTCTTAAATGCTGAGCCAGTGAAGGAACTGAGCATAAAACATCCTATAATGTGCTCCACAGTTCAAGAACAAAAGTTTCTCCTGAAGGTATGCTTTTTGAATGATTAGCTTGGGTTTTTCCCCTCCATACTTACTGGTAATAAAAGACAAGTTTAGGCAGACTTAGGAAATATTAAAATAGCTGGGTTTATTTTGGAGCTTGAAAGTACATGTATATAGTAGATACAAAAAGTCTATAAACCGAGATGTAAAAAACAATCAGACCAAGATAATCACTTCAGAATTTTTTCAATCACTAATATAACATATAAGCTGTACAATTCAATTGAAAAACAAATCTTTTAGGGGGAAAGTAATAATAAAAAACATACAATAACATGGTTGCATAAATGTGTGTGCCCTTAAACTAATACTTTGCTGAAGTACCTTTTGATTTTATGATAACATTCATCTTTTGGGGCGGGGGGTGGGGGTTAGGGTGGCATGGCACGTCTTGTCCTGGGAATCTTTATGCACTTTTCCTTGTAAAAATGCTCCAAATCTATCAGATTGCAAGTAAGCCCTCTCCAACTCACCGCACAGATTTTTAATTGGATTTTAGTATGAACTCTGGCTGGTGAAACCATTCTCTTTTTGATTTGGATCATTGTTGTGTTGAAAGGTGAAACTCCTCTTCATCTTCAACATTTTAGCAGCGGCCTAAAAATATTGTGCCAAAATGGGCTGATATTTGAAACTGTTTATTCCCTTTGCTTTGACTAAAGCCCCAGTCCTAGCCGAAAAAAAGCTGCCCCAAAGCATAGTGCTGCTACCACTATGCTTCACTGTGGTTATGGTGTATTTCTGGTGATAAGTAGTGTTGTTTTTGCATCAAACATTTTTGGGAACTGTGATGAAAAAGTTCAGCCTTGATCTCATTAGACCATAACACATTTTCCCACATGCTTTTGTCAGACTTGTGTAGGTTTTTGCAAAATGAACTTGGGCTTGTATATTCTTCTTTGCAAGAAATGGCTTTTGTATTTCCATCCTACACAACACTACATAAAGAATATGGGAGATTGTTGTCACACGTAATACACAATGAGTACTTGTCAGAAATCCCTGTAGCTTCCTTAATATTGCTGTAGGCCTTATGGCAGCTTTTTGGATAGTATTCTTCTTGTTTTTCCATCAATTTTGAAAGGACATCCATTTCTTGGTAATGGATGGTGCCATTTTTTTCCACTTGTTGATGACTTCCCTGTATTCCATGGTATTGAAAGCTTTGAAAAATTTCTTGTATCTTTTTCTTGACTGATGCCTTCCAACGGATTTCTTTGATGCTTTTTAAGCTCTTGGCAGACAATGGCTTTTGCTGCAAGAGGCAACTGAGTAAATTCAGAAAAATCCCACTAGAACAGCTGAACTTTATGCAGATTTGATTAGAGTCGCTTGACTAATTTTTCACAGTTTGAGTGTGATTGGTTAAAATGGCCACATCCCTAGAGTATATGCACTTATGCAGCCAAATTATTCTAGTTTTGCATTGTTGTTTTTCCCCAAAAAGGTTTCACTTTGTTTTTCATTTGAGTTCTACAGCTCATGTTACAAGTAGTCCTTGACTTACAACCGTTCACTTAGTGACCTTTTGAAGTTACAGCAGCACTGAAAAAAGTGACTTGTGACCATTTTTTCATACTTATTTCTATGATCATGTGATCAAAATTCAGATGCTTGGCAACTGACTCATATTTATGACAGTCGCAGTGTCCCCAGGATCACATGATCCCTTTTGCAACCTCCTTAAAAGCAAAGTCAACGGGGGAGCCAGATTCACTTAACAGATATGTTGTTAATTTAACCACTGCAGTGATTCACTAAACACTGTGGCAAAAAAGTTTCTTAAATGAGCAAAAATTCATTTAACGAATGTCTCACTTTGCAAGATAAATTTTGGGCTCACTTGTGGTTGTAAGTCAAGGACTATCTGTATATTTAAGATGAAAAAATTCTGAAGTGATTTATCTTGGTCTGAGTTTTACATATCAAAAACCTGGCATTTAAATGGGTGTGAATATTTTTTTTTAATACACTGTAGTTTCAAGTTCGTTTGATAGTTAATGGAATTTTGCCCTTTGAATATGGAGAAATCAGGAATTTCAATCCATTTTTCAGAGACCATGCTGGCTGAGATTTCTGACAACCATGCCATTTAAAAAAGCTAATTATTATGGCAACTTGAAATAGTGGCAAGGCTTATTCCTAGTTCTAGGTGTGTCCATATTAGCAGTCACCATTCCTGTTTATTGACTTGACAGGAATTCAGGAACATTTGAAAGGTGATATGCATCCTAATCTTGGTGAAAAGCTGCTTAGGATAGAGAAAATGATATATGTCTTTGAATAACTTCCTAGAAATTACACATTTGTTTATATAGATTATAGACTACAATTGTTGCCAAATGTAAGTCCTTCCTTATTCTTATCTGTTCTAATTGTCATTGTTCTGAAAGTTCATTTGGACTACAGTATATGCTTTTATTCACAAGAATAAAGATTCCATTTATTAATTCAGAAAATAGAAACATTTGGCAAAAACGGTTCCTTTTTTCGTATTTTGGGAAATAGTTAAATAATCTCATGAAACAGATTTTTACTCGCCTGAATTTACCTTTTCAGGGATATATTGCAGATACGAATACTGAAACTCAAATAATAGAAAGAGCAGTAAAGTATCATCAAGTTTGGAAAGAATTAAAGGAGGAATCTTGTTTAATGCAACCAGTGTTCCTGTTTTTATGCAAGGTAAGTTGTTCATTGAAGTGTATTTTTCTTTGTGACTTCTGCGTAAAAAGTTCAAAGATCTCATAATAGGAAGTACTTTCCTTGCTTTAAGATAAAGACTCCTTAAATTTATATAGATGATATAAAAACACAAATAGGAAAGTTTTTCAGTGGCATGATATTTGATGGTTTCTGTTCCTGCACATAATATTTTTGTTTTTATTTAAGTCTGAACCTATAATGTATCTAATGATTCCATACTATGCTGGAGCAAACCTGGGCACACTGCAGATGACTGCACCTTTAATCGTACAAGTAAGTAATCTGGTAGTATGAAAGGAAATCGTCCTCTTGAATTTCTGAATCATTAGCAAATTAAATTTAATGTAGAACATCTTCAATTTCTTTGTGTGAATGGACACATTGGTAACTTTAGAAATATATTTAAGAGGCTCCTATATTGATTAATTGATTATTAATACTATACTCATTAATTGGCTGTTGAATATGGAATATTCAGAGAGTTTTCTCCATTATTTCTCTTGGTCTCTGAAAATGTGTGTGTGTGTTGGGTATATTCAGTATCATACTTTGTTTTCAGTGTTCTTTACAAGCTGCCTTTTTTTCTTCCATGACTGATATTCCACGTAGCATCAACCTTGTGAACTATATCTTTACTGAATTTGCTGGCTGGCTTGCTCTTTACCCCTAGCCCAATGCTTATCCCAAATAGCATTTTTTTCTACTTCAGTTCTAGATAACTGAGCATCAAATAGTAAATGCCAGCTCCCATCAGCCCCACCTGCTATTTTTCCCCTAAGGCTGATTTGTGCCTATGTAGGGTGTCCCAGCCCTACTGAAACAGTCTGACCAAGAAAAAGGAAGAAGTTAGAGCAATTCCCTTTTGACCTCCTTAGTAGCTGAGTGAAAATGTACTGTACACCTGTTAGTTAACTGTAGGAGATAGAAGCCATATTGGTTCCATATTGTCATATTGTAGAATCCATATTTAATTTTACGTTTTTGCTATAAAATTGATCCTAGTTAGCACTTTCGGTCATCTTCATTGTTTTCTACTGTTGCTTTCCAGAGAATAAAAAAAATGTCAGAAATGCTATACTTAGAACTCCCATCTTATGCCTTGTTATTTAGCAGGATGGGTGATCTCCTTCCCCAGTAGAATGATGGAAGAATAAAAGGAAGGATTCTGTTTTATGGCCTCTAGTATAGTTTAAACAGTTATTAGTTTTTAAATATTTAAAATATTTTCCACCTTTGAAATCTGAATTGATTAATTGTCCTAGGCTACCGAAGAAAGCCCAGGAAAATTAATCCTGTATAGGAAACTATAAATTGGTTTGATACAAGTTTTGAAAATAGTTTTCTCTCTTGTTTTTTCATTGGATATGTAATAAGCATTTTTGAAATCCTTCTGGGAATATTTTGGCACTGGTCTCATAGGACATTTTTTGCAATCACTTTAACTAGGAAACATTAAAAGTAATGAAAGGAGTGGCACGTGGTCTATGTGTACTACACAAAGCTGATATAATTCATGGATCGTTGCATAAAAACAATGTATTTGCATTGAACCGAGAACAGGGAATTGTTGGAGATTTTGATTTCACCAAATCTGAGGTAAAAATATTTTCTTATAAATAAATAGTATTGCAAAATGTAAATTAATAGCACAAACACTAACATTTTTGAGGATGTGTAAAATCCAAGGAATTTGAGGAATTACTCAGTATTTTGATAATGGCATGTTGTTTTTATTTGTTACAAACTATAACAGAAGAATAAATTCATCAGTGACAATATGATAGGGCCTTCCAAAAAAGTACCGGGGGGGGACATGCAATTTTAATCTTTAGCATAATCATATTCCATAAGGAGGGAACCATCAACAAGAAAGCCCTATTTTTTGGTCTGAGCAGATGTATTTCTGTAAGGGATGGGATCTGTAATATACCTTGCCTTCTTGCCCTAGAGAGCTGGATAGATATAAATGTGGAGAGGTTGTCTTTCAAATAAACTGGCCCCTAGCCATGTAAGGCTTTAAAAGTGATAACCAGCATTTTAAATTGCACCTGGAAGCAAATTGACAATCAGTGCAGTTCTCCCAAAAGAGGTAATACATGCAAATCTAACTTTGTGCAAAACTTTGCAAGCCATTGCAGTTTGAACCAATTGAAGCTTCCAGATATTCTTCAAGAGTAGTCCCATTTAGAACTCATTATAAGAGTCCAAACAAGAGTTGACAGGATATGGGTGACTGAGCAGGACACATTGATTCAGTAATAGGCATTACAAGCATATAACTCACAGTTGTGGAAAGACCCTTGTCATCTTGTTTATCAACTGCTCCTCAAGCTGGAGTTGCAAGTCCATGACAATCCCCAAATGCAACTTCACCCATGGTGTCAACGTTCCAACTAACAAACTCCAAACCAACAAATTGGGAGACAAACATTTTCTCAAAGTTCCATTTCATTAGAGTTGTCATATTGGAACATCTGGTAAAACCCGAATCTGAGAGTTCCAGGTTTTCCCCCCCCCCCCCCCCCCAAAATAAAAGATCTATCCCCTACACCCACCAGTCCATCACATGGTTCAACCAAACTATATCCCAATTGGAGACATACCTCCAGACACTCCTCTCCAGGTGCGGGGTAACATGTCCTTGACTTTCTGTAAAAGAATGTTATTGAGTCTGATCTTCCACCTCTCCATGAAATTCCTAGGCACTAAATGTGGCTGAGGAGAAAATCATCCTGGAACAAAACAAAAAAACAACAATCGGGTTAATCTTACAATCAATCAACTAAGTTAACCACTTCTCCCCCCCCCCCCCCCCCTCCAGAGGACCCTTTGGCTTGTCTGTGAATTTGTCATGAAATTGTTTTACCAACGTATCTTCTTTACATCCCAACTCTTTACCCAGGTAGCTTCAGATGTTCTATATACTGTAACCTGCCTCTACATAACCTAGAATCCACAATATTTTTCACCTCATAATGGGTTTCCCCTTGTATTTAACTGGCTTGGGGGGAGCAGCTGTCTGAGGTTTCAACCTTGAACTGACAGCTGGCTTTAACAAACTACTGTGTGAGACAGGGTGTACGTTCCCTAATATTTGAGGGAACCTAAATTGGATAGTTATCAGATTTATCACATTCACTATGGGGAAAGGTTCTAGAAATTTTCGTCCTAATTTTTTTTATTAGGTAGCCTTAATCTAAGGTTTTTGGTTGACAGGTAAACTTGGTCTCCCACCCGGAAGGGAGGCTGGGGAGATCTATCAGCCTACTTTTTATACTCCTCAGCTGCTTCTGCTAGAGCTTTCTTCATACTCTCCCAACCCTTTTTTTAGTGAATCCATCCATTCTGTTAAAGACATGGAGGAGAGTGGCTCTATGGGCAATTCTGGCATGGGAACAAATTCCATGCCACCTGTGATTTGAAAAGGAGTCAATCCTGTGCTACTGTACACCACATTGTTATAAGCCACTTCTGCAAACAATAATAAGTCCTCCCAGTTCTCTTGCTGGTAATCCACATAACATCTGAGATATTGTTCCACCATAAAGTTCAAATGTTCCACAGCTCCGTTTGTAGCCAGATGAAAAGCAGAGCTAAGTCCTTGGGATATTCCAATAGATCTCAGGAATTCTCTCCAGAACTTTGCAGTGAATTGGACGCCTCTGATATTATTCGCTGTGGCATTCCGTGAAACCGGTATATTTGCTTCACAAACATCTTAGCTAGTTTTTTAGCTGACTTGCTTAGAGAATAAATTAATCACAGTCCAAATTACTGTATTACCTCCATTTCTTGGAGTTCAACTATAATATCCATGGCAATTTCCTCCCAGGGTGTAGTGGGTTTGGCCACTTGTTGGAGGAGCCCAGGTGGTTTCCCTGGCCTCATTTTCATTGTAGCACAAATAGAACAACTTTTGACATAGTCTTCAACATTGGATTTCATTTTTGAAATATCTCCTGGCTAGATGGAGGGTTTTTAAAATTCAAAGTAGCCACCTAGTCGAGAGTTGTGACTTGGGCACAGTACCAAAAGCCTCAAGTTGTTGAGCATGTAAAGTTTGTATCCTTTCAATTCCAATCCATCCCTTAAGGTTAGATCCTCTTGGTTTTCCAAGAACCATGAGTCAGTCAAAAGCACCGCTTTTAGGTCTGCGGTCAGTTTGTCCTCAGAGGGTCGGCTTGAAATTTAGCTTGGGCCCTAGTGGCTTGGGCTGTGATTTGTGTTTCTGAAATCATTGCATGGACAGCTTCTCAGTGGCTGTCATATTGGGGTTTTCTTGACAGCGCATTCGCCAGTCAGTTCTTCCTACCTGGGATGTATTTTACGTTGAAATTAAAACATTTAAAATATTGAGCCCAGCGAACTTGTTTAGGGGAAAGCTTCCAGAGTCTCTTCAGGGCTTTGAGATTTTTGTAATCAGTCCATATCTTGAATGGCTTCTTAGCCCCTTCTAAGAGGTGCCTCTAGGAAAGGAGAACCCATCAGACTACAAAGACTTCCTTTTCCCACACAGCCCACCTTTGCTTTGTCTCTGTTAGCTTTTTAGATGCATACGTACAAGGCAGCAGCTGGCCTTGGGGGTTCTTTTGGAGAAGTACAGTGGCTACAGCCACATTGCTGGTATCTGCTTGAACAATAAATGGCCTGTCAGGGTCTGGATGCTGGAGAACAGACTCTTCCACGAAGAGGCATTTTAAATTCTCGAACACTTTTTGACAGTCTATTGTCCAAGCTAGTGGCTGCGTTGGTTTTGGCTTCATGGGAGGGGCTCCAATTTTTAGCAACTTTGTCAAAGGAAGGGCTACTTCCGTGAAGCCTTGTTGTTCCTAACAGAATTATCTGTAAAAGTTGATAAAACCTAGGCAGCTTTGGAGTTGCTTGTGAGTGTGAGGAGTCCAACACCACTCTTGCTTTCCTTGGATTCATCTCAGTCCACTCATTTGATTTTCGGTAGCCCAGGTAGTCTAAGGAGGTCTTATGGAACTTGCATTTTGAGAGCTTTGCATAGTTTTGTGGCTAGATGTTTTTTCAGGACTTACCGCACTAGTTTGACATGTTCCTCTAGTGTCTCACTGAATATAAGAATGTCATCTAGATAAACTAGGACCCCATTATATAAATGTCCATGCAGTACTTCATTGATTAATTGCATAAAGACTGCTAGGGCTCCCTGGAGCCAAAAAGGCATAAGTTGGAATTGAAAACCTCCTAACGGACAATTAAAAGCCGTTTTTCATTCGTCCCCCTCCCGAATGCGCATTCTGTAATATGCTCCCTGTAGGTCCAGCTTTATAAATATCTTACCCTTCGATAGATTATTCAATAAGTCTTTTATGAAGGGAAGTGGTCGGTATTTTGCACATACAGCATTTATCCTGCAAAAATCAACATACAGCCTCATCCCCCCATCTTTTTCTTAAACAGTTCTCTACTTTAGATTTTGTGAGGTCGATAAAGCCTCTGGCTAAGTTGGTGTCAATGTACTTCCTCAACTCAGTCATTTCCGCTGGTGTCATGGAGTACATTTTCGGCTTTGGTAACTTGGCTACCGGCTCGATTTCAATGGCACAATCAGTTTGTCGTTGAGATGGAGGGATATTGCATTCCTCCTCACTAAAAATGCAGGCTAAGTCTCTGTATTCCTTAGGGGTTGAGCGGTCGCCTGGCAATGACTCTACGGTGGCGGTGGACACTTCTTATGTTTGGGGGCTAATTGGTGGCTGGCCAATCAGGAGGGATAGGAGGCAGTGGGCCAATGCCTATTATGATCTTCCTGTAATCATCTTTCCATTTGATTGTAGGGGCCCATTTATCAAGCCAGGCATTCAGTCATTTTGGGCGGTACAACAAACCATATGAGTTCCTGTTGCTTCCTCATTTAGAGCCTGACAAATTGTATGACTTGGGTGGCGGGGCTGCACCAATTAATGTCCCATCCACTTGCTCGAAACGAATTGGGTGCGTTAAGGGCCTTGTCTTTATCCCCAACTGTTCAACAATGGGGAACTCAATTAGGCACCTGTGCAGCTGTGTCTATCACTGCTTCTAATTCCCTCTGCACCCCAGTCTCTGGTACTATCAATTTGAATTTTACTGCAGAAGGGCGGATGACTCCACTCACCATTGGGTCGTTCTCTCCATTGGCAGTCCCTGGAGGAGCTTCTTGGCTGGAGGTTCCTCACCTTCATCTATGGAAAGCCTTGCCGAGTGAATCTGCTTTAATCTGTTGTCTTCCTTGGGGCTCTTTTTCCCCTAGTCGCCACAGTTAACCAAGGTTGAGGGACAGGTACAGGGGCTAGGCATTAGGAAGCCTGGTGACCCAATTGACCTTAGCGGTAGCATTTGATGGTACTGGTCTGCGGGGCAGGTGGCGGCTTGGGAGGCTTTGCTGGGGTTGGTTGGCCCAGAGGTCTTCTCACTTGTTTCTCTGGTGTTGGCTTTTGATGCAGATTTATCTCTTGGTCCATTGTTACAGCCATGGTATACCAGTCTTGCAGCCAGTTAGGTACTTCTCAAATACTACGTGCTTTTCTGATTTCTTGGTTGATGGATTCTTTAAAATAGTGAAGGAGGATTTGTTTAGGCCAGTGTCTGAGTTTTCCGGCCACTCTTCTGAACTCCCAGACAAACTCTTTAATGGGGCAATTCCTTTGTTTCATCTTTATTATAGCCTCATTCTCATTCCTGCGGTCCGTGTCTTCAAATCTGGCTTGAAGCAGTTGGACGAATCTGTCAGCATCGTCTAGTTCAGCAGCCATTTCATCATATAGCTGAGCTATCCAGGCAGCAGCATCACCTTCTTTCATTCCTTCAGCAATTGCCGATATTAGGTCATGGTCCAACTGGTAGTGGTCTCCATACTGGTCGATGTATGCCCAAACTTGATTGAGGAAATATGCCAGCTTTCCTGGGGTTCCATCAAAATTCTGAATCTCAGTGGCTGCACTGTGGCAGAAGGGACTGGCAGCTCAGTTGGAGGTATTGATAGAGCAGCCGGTGGGGCAGGGATCTGTTGCTGCATCGCAACTGGCTGCTGGGCTGGAGTGGTAGCTGGGCCAGATCTTGTTGCGGGGCAGGAACCGGTGGTACAAACAGTGCAGTCGTCCACTGGTATTGCATCCACCTGTGGCAGGGATACAAGCCCTATCCAGAGAGAATACACTCAGCAGGGGGCAGCATAAAAAACAGCTGGCAAGGAGGGGGTGGCCAGACGCGGTAGTACTTCAATTGCGGGCAGTAGCCGCTGTCTCTCTCTCACAGGCTGGGCTGGGTATATTGGCTCAGTTCTCTGTGGCCAAATAGAAGGATGCCGTCGTGACACTCTGCCCACTTGCTAACTCTGGGTTGGGAAATGTGAATGTGGGTTGTGTTAGGATCTACCTCGGCTGGCTAACTTGAGTTCGCAGGGCATAACTGCCAATCTCAAGATGCTCAAATTGTTCCGGGAGACCTGTCAAAGATTAGCTCTGTGAGAGAGGTAGCAGACTCCAATCCTGGGAGTTGTCTGATCCCAAAGGTCTTAGTTCTCTCCATTCAGGACTGACCTTATTGGACTGGTCCCTGGTTGGTGCTCAGGTGACCTCATCTCTGGTCCCATCTCCGGAGTTGGGTTAGCCTCAGAGAGGTTCCAGGACTCTAGCTCCTTGGGTTGAGCACCTTGCAGTCGCTCCGCTTTGGCAGTTTCAATGGCTCACGCCATTTCCACAGAGGAAGGATACAGAGTTTTGACAAATACCTCTGTGTCAGCTCTCACAGCTCCCTCTTCTGCAGTCGCCTTCTCTTCCATCTTCCCTAAGTCTTTATACTTCCTGGTCGGTGTTCAGGGCTCAGGATCCTGGACAGCCCCTGGCTATCGGGGAGCTGATTGAAGATTTTTAGGGATTTGTTAATGTCAGCGTTCCAACTAGCAAACTCCAAACCAAAAGCCTCTGATCAAGCATTTTCTCAAAGTTCCATTTCATTAGAGTTGTCATATTGGCACATCTGGGAAAACCCAAATCTGAGAATTCTGGGTTTTCCCTTCCCAAAAGAAAATCAAAGATCCATCCCCTTCACCCACCAGTCCATCACCAACTGGAGACATTCCTCCAGACACTCCTCCAGGTGCAGGGTAACATGTCCTTGACTTTCTGTAAAGAAACCGTTGTTGAGTGTAATCTTCCATCTTTCCATCAAATTTCCAGGCACCAAAATTGACAGCCTCAAAGCTTCTAAGTAAAATATGGCTTCTAAGGGTGACAGATGGTAAATTACCAAGAACTAAAGAGACCTGAACCAAAGCCTTTTGATGATGCTTGGGTCCAATTTTAGTCTGTTCCTTCCCATCCAATCTCAACAACCTCTGGGCACTGAAAGAGAGCAGTCGTGGCATTGCTTAATTCATCATAGACAGAAATGCATAGTTGAATATCATCAGCATATTGATGATATCATACTCTATGGTGACAGAATATTTTCCCTTCATATAGATATTAAGGGAGCGGATGCTGCACAGACCTCTGCAGTAATCAAGGGCCCAGGGTCAGTATTCTTGCTCTCAGCCGACGCTGACTGAAAGTGTAGAAAGGAAATAAACCAGGGTATCATAGTCCCTCCCCAAACCCCAAAGCTATTCCAGAAAGTTACCATGTTCGATAGTAACAAAAACTGTTGAAAGGCCAAATAGAGCAAGGACAGACGTGCTACTCCAGTCCTCCTGCTGGAAAATTAAACAGTATTGTTTCCATCCCATATCCAGGCCAGAATCCCTGGGAAGGGTTCAGATAATATGTTTTATTAAGGATCATCTGGTGCTGCAGCACAGCCATCTTCTCAACAACTTTTCCCCAAAAGGGAGGCTGGAGACAGGATGAGAATTGTCCATCAGGGTGGGATTTAGTAATGCCTTTTTAAGGGGTGAACCACAACTAGCTTTGAAGAACTGGGGTTGGACCACTTTCCACGGAAAATTCACCACCTCTAGTACTCACCCATATGTTGCTTCCTGTAAGCCTTCTACCAGCTGCAGGGAGGTAGACCTAACAGGTGCCAAGCTTGCATTTCCTAGATCCTGCCCACTTCCTAAGGCAGGATCTGTGGACTGGTACCAGGCCGCAGCATGCCAGAAACAGGGCTGTGCAAACAAGCAAAGCCCCATTTATGGGATGCAGGCAGGACTCAAAATTATGACGCTTCCAATCTGGAAAAATTTCTCTACACAGAACCTGTCCCTGGTGTTCAAAAGGTTGGGTGGCCATGTCCTTAGGAATTACAGGATCAAAACATTCCCCAATAATTAGGCAAGAACCTTCCAGGGAAGGGAACCAGTGGACCAGTGTCCATGCCTATATGGACAATTGTGGATAAATCTGAGTGACTTTATCTGCCAGAAAACCAGCAAATTTTCCAGTGTGCCCTTGCAGGTAGATCTCCAAGTCCTCCTTATCTATGAGGGCTATTGTCACCTTAAAAAGGAACACTGGGAGGTTATTTATAGTTGCAATATGTGCAAAGTATTTTTGCTTCACCGAATTTATTACCAAAGATAGACATTAAATAGTTCTTACTGAAGCAGTTCAGTTAAATTTGTTCTTCATCTTCTGCTAGTGGTGTTCTAGATGTCTTGATCTTCTTCATTTCTTTCAGTTCTTCTGTGTTGTAAGAAGAATGCTGAGACCCACAAGTCAAGAGAGGTCGCTTGGGTGTAGCTGTCTAAAACCTCAGTCATTCTTTTATTCCAAGAAATGACAACTGTGCAACAGATTCTCAGTTATAGCATCCTGCTCCTTTTAAAACTAATCAAGGTCATCAGTTTCAGGGGTATACAAATCTAATAGATCTCACCTCCTTGCAAATGATTGCAGCCTAGAGATACTCATAGACAGCAGGCTTTCTGACCATGACGGGGGACCAGTCATAGATCCATCAATTCCAGGCCATAAAGGCATCGCTCCAAGAAGAATACCAAATTGGGTGTGTGATCTCTATTTCAAGGCAGGCCTGAATTCCCACAATACCTCTGACCCTACTCCCAAGGGAAGGCAGGTTGAAGCCCCCAGCACTATAAATCTAGGAAATGCCATCACCAGCTAGGTAGTGAAGTCCAGGACCTCAAGCAGGGAAACTGCTATGCAGCAGGGAGGAAGAAAAAGAATCTCCCAGCCAAGAGATTTGTGGAGACTTTGCAGCCAGAGTGTTCCAGACATCAACAACCATGTCAACTTTTCTTATTGCGGGCTGTTCTGGCATTTAAAACAAATAGCTTAAGACCTGCTTCATTGTTGATCTGACCAGATAAAGAGGCTGAGTTTAAGGAGCTGGAACATTCAACTGGTGTTCAATATGATGGGTGGTGATAAGAGTCAAAGCCTCTGTATTAACTGGATTGTTTTACTTTCTGGACTGTTTTACTTTCAGAGCGAGCATGCTTTGTCAGCTTCTATGACTTTGAATGGCTTAAACTTAATTTCTCCTGAGCTAAGAAAGGGTCAGCCACCTTCTCCAGCTTCAGATATGTATGCTTTTGGTTGTCTGCTTTACTGGGTATGTAAATCTTATGACACAGGCATTGCTGTATCACAATATAAAGTATCTTGCTCCTGTTCTGATAGCTTTTGTTTGCCTAAAAAGTTGTATGTTGCTTGTCAGGGAAGATGTTAAAAAATTATGGTAGTCAATATAATAAAAAATGAATATTTGAAGACTAAAGAATTATAGTTTCCATAATTCTTAATCGAGTATTTACTCCACTTTTTTGTTAATACTGATTGGTAATCTTGCCATGTTGGAGTGTTCATTTTGGGCCAATCTGATCTCCAAATGGGATTAATGCATGCCCAAGAAGCCTAGCAAAAGAAATGGAAAAAAAGAAGCAGAAAGTGGATAGGAAAACAGAACCAGATGAAGATTATGCAGGAAATTCAGTGCTGAAGGAGTGCAGATGGGGGTGGGAGGACACAGAAAGTTTGGGCAGTGTAATGTTTATTGATATTTGGGAATAATTTTGTCATCTTTTAAATGTGCAGCTATTTATTGGAAAGCAAGAAATAAAAACAAACAGAGACGGAACTCCTCAAATTGATGGCCTTGCTATGGTATGGTTTTTTCCAACCAAAATATTTAGATTTAATGAATAATTGACTGTTTTTAAGGACTGTTAAATAAAAATAATTAAGATATGTAAGAGTATAGGTGATACAAATCGACAACTATTTATACAAAATCTTTCAAAACATTTTCATATTGCTGATGAAAAGATTGGTATAAAATATGAAGAACAGAGGCCTATATATTCAAGAATTACTAACTAATTAGAATATTTCACATAGTTGCAAGAACTGATTCTGGAAGAATGAAATATAATCAAAATGAATAAGCAACTGGAGCAACCCAATGGAAAAAGATTACACTGTTGCCAATCAAACAAGAAACGTAGTATTAAATTATGCATGCTAACTTATAGAACTACCCAATTCATCAGGAAACAAACACTGAGTAGCCTGGTTTATAAAATGTAAATGTGAAGACATAGTTCCAATTAGATCGTAAAATAGAGGCATTACTCTTGCTAAGATATTACCTGAGTCACATGCAAAATTTTCTTACCTCCTCCCCCTTGCTAGTCAGAGGATTGGAGTTTCTTTTGATAACAAGAAGAAACTGCTCTATAGAGGAGGAGTGTAATACCTCCCCATAGATTCAGATAAAAGAAATTCAAGTGAAGTAGAAGCAAGGAAATATATTTTTCAAAGATTGTTTAAATAATATAATTATCCCTCCTGCAGATAATTTCCATGCCTGAGGTGAGTGAATGTCTGCAATCTGCCTGACATGGAGTTCACATTATTGGGAACACAAGTTGCTTTCACAATGGGCTTCATGTTTTTTTTAAAAAAAACAATTTTATTGTTTTTTTAACAAACAAACAAACAGACAAAACATAAAAACATCAGCTCTCATCCGTATTTATATACGAACAGTGAGTCGGTTGGTTCATCAGTTTTGTGCATTCATTTCGTAGTCACAATTAAAATTACCTTACATAATAACTCTTATTATCAATCCAAACTTATATATCCTCATATCATTATTAAAGAAAAAAAGATTTGACTATACTTTTATTCAATCATGCCTTATGAGATAACTATAATTTAAGTAATTTATTCTATAACAAATCATATAATCCTACCAATTCTATCCTAAATAAAAGAAAAAAAAGAAAAAACATTTTATAAATATAATATCAAATACCAAAAAAAAAGAAAAGTGAAATCAATATTATTCCTTATTGTCTAACATTCTAAATATTCTATTTTTGTATTTCATCATTCAACCATTGATAGAAAAGATCCCAAATTATATAAAATTGTTTATCTTCTTGCTCTCTAATTTCAAAAGTCAATCTACTCATCTCAGCACGTTCCAATATTTTCTTTATAACTTCTTCCTGCAATGGAATTTTCTCATTTTTCCAATTTTTTGCAAATACAATCCTAGCCGCAGTTAATACATTTACAATCAAATATTTCAAATCTTTACTATAAACATCTGGTAAGATTCCCAATAAGAAAAGCTCCGGTTTCAAATCTATATGCTTCTTTGTCATTTTTTCCAACCACATGCGGATTTTAGTCCAATATTTTCTAGCATCCACACAAGTCCACCACATATGGTAGTATGAACCAGGTTTCTGATGACATTTCCAACATTTTCCCGATTTGTTCTTGAACATTCTTGCTATCCTTGTCGGGGGGAAATGCCACCTGTAAAACATCTTATACAAGTTTTCTTTATAGGCTGTAGACATTGTCATTTTATAGTTTTGCAACCATAATTTCTGCCATTTCTCTAAGTCAATCCCATATCCAAAATTCCTCCCCCAGGCAATCATAGTTTCTTTAACTTGTTCTTCCTCTAGCTTAATTTCCAATAAGTAAACATATAGCTTTTTAATCACCTTTTCATCAGTACCCATCAAAATCTTATCTAAATCAGTCTGTTTATCATAAAATCCCTCTGTTTTGGAATCCTCCTCATACCTTGAGTGTATTTGCACATATGAAAACCAATTCATCTGTATACCTTGTTCCTCTAAGTTTTGTATCGATTTAAGTTCACCCTTTTCATCTAGTAATTCCCCATAGCTAACTGTTCCTTTTTATAAATTATAGGGTAAGAAAACGCTTCTATCGTCGATAACCAAACTGGAATTTTCAAATAACATTGTTTTTTTATCTTCTCCCAGTTTAACCACAAAGACTCCCGTATATAATGTCTTCTAAAATAACCCTGTGTTTTGGTTCCCTTATACCATAGAAAAGCATGCCAACCCAACAACAAATCATGACCTTCTAGTGTCAACAATCTAGTCTTCCTTAATGTTATCCATTCTTTAACCCACATCAAATTTGCAGCTTGATAGTACAACTCCCAATTAGGCAGGCCAAACCCTCCTCTAGTTCTAGCATCCTGTAAGAGCATCCTTGCTTTCTTGCCTTGCCATATATACTTCAACACAATTTTATTTAAATCCTCAAAATAGTCTTTTCCAAGCCTAATTGGTATTGTTTGAAACAAAAATAAAATTCTGGGTAGAATATTCATCTTAATTGTTGAAATCCTCCCTATTAATGACAATTGTAAGTTTTCCCATTTCTTCAAATCTTGGGCTATCTGTTGTTTAAGTTTAATGTAATTGTTCTCTTTTAATGTACTACATCTTGGCGTCAAATATATCCCCAAATACTTAACCTTGTTTGTAACTTGAATTTTCAACAATTCTGCCAATTCTTCTCTTTGTCTTAGTAACATATTCTTTGACAAGATCTTTGTTTTGTCTTTATTTATTTTCAGACCGGTCACCTCACCATATGTCTCTATCTTTTCCAGCAGCTTCAAGGCTGTTTCTATAGGATCTTCTAAAATAAAGACTAGGTCATCTGCAAAAGCTTGTAATTTAAATTCTTCCTTTTTAATTTTCATTCCTTTTATAGTGTTATCTTCTCTGATATTTCTGTTCAACACTTCCAAAGTCAATACAAATAGCAAGGGAGAAAGGGGACAGCCTTGTCTTGTGCCTTTTCTTATATTAATAGAATCTGTAAATTCTCCCTCCATCATTATCTTAGCTGTTTGTTCATTGTAAATTGCTTCTATTGCCTGGATAAATCTTCTAGCAAAGCCCATCTGTTCCATTAAAAGTAACATAAATCTCCAATTCACATTATCGAATGCCTTTTGGGCGTCTAAAAATATCAAAGCCATTTGCTTTTCAGGATGCGCCTCATAATATTCCAAAGTATCCAGAATTACTCTCATGTTGTCTCTAATTTGCTGCTTTGGCAAAAACCCATTTTGGTCTGGATGAATAAAATTATTCAAATATTTTTTAAGTCTTTCTGCTAGTATTGAAGCAAAGATTTTATAATCTGCATTTAATAAAGAGATCGGTCTGTAATTCTTAATTTGAAGTGGATCCGCCTCCTCTTTTGGAATAAGTATAATATAGGCCTCTGACCATGTTTTAGGTATCATCTTCTTTGACATAGCTTCATTCATAACTTCTAACAATGGAATACACAGTGATTCTTGAAAAGTTTTATAAAATTCTACAGGAAGCCCGTCTGGACCTGGTGCTTTTCCGTTATTTTGTTTCTTAAGTGCTTGACTTAATTCCATCATTGTTATATTACTTTCTAGCATTTCTTCAGTCTCTTTGGATATCTTAGGTAGGTTTGCATTCTGTAAGTACTGTTTGACTTTTTCCTCATCAATATTCTCTTTCTTGTATAGTTGTCCATAGAAATCTCGAATAATTTCCTTTTTCTCCTTATTACCATAACAAACTTGGCCTTGGTCATCTATTAACTGCAATATTTTCCTCGACTCTTTCTCCTTTCTCAACTTGTATGCTAGCCATCTACCTGGCTTATTTGCATCTTCAAAATAATTCTGTTTAGCATTCCTAATTTTCTGTGCCAGTTCTTCTTTCTCTATTAAGTCCATTTTATGTTTAGTTATATCCAGTTTCAGTTTAACATCTTTTTTCTGTGGCATTTTCTGCAGTTCTTTTTCAAGTCTTTTATATTCATCCTCCAAGGCTTTGAAAGCTTGCCTTTTCCTAATATTCTTTTTTCTTGTATAGTCTATTATCAAGCCTCTGGCATAAGCCTTCATTGTATCCCAAACATTCTGCATTGAAGTGTCTTCTTTTCTATTTTCTTTAAAGAAAAAGGCCAGTTCTTTCTCCATCCATTGTGTAAATTCTTTCTCCTTTAAAATAGTATTATTTAACGTCCATCTCGATCTTTTTTTTTGTCCCTTCCATTTAATTGTCAATGGGTTATGATCAGCCCAAGTACTTGTTTCAATATTTACTTCTTGAACGCTAGATATTAAGTCTGTTGAGATCCAAATCATATCAAGTCTGGACCATGATAAATGTCTATTTGAATAGAAAGTATATTGCTTAAGTTTAGCATTTCTTTCTCTCCATATGTCTTTTAAAGTTAATTCATCTATCATTTTAAAAAAAGATTTAGGAAGAATTTTTCTATTATACTTTGCTGTTGTTGCAATATAATCCAGATTATTGTCCACGATTCCATTAAAATCTCCCATCATAATTATATTAACATAGTCCAGTCCAGCCATTTTGATATGTAATTTTTTATAAAATTCTTCCTGTTTATCATTCGGGGCATAAATTGCAGTCAAAAGTATCTTTCTATTATTGTCCATTATTTCCATCATTAATATTCTCCCATCTTCATCAGCGTAAATCAGTTTTGCTGGGGTAGCCTCTTTGATATATAAAACCACCCCTCTTTTCTTACATTGAGTCAAAGAAGTAAACAGTTTCCCTAATTTTGGTTGGACTAACAATTGTTCATGTTGCTTTTTAATGTGTACTTCTTGTAAGCAAATTATATGAAACTTTAATTTCCCTAATTTATGAAAAATCTTCCTTCTCTTAGCAGCTGAATTCAGTCCATTTATATTTATTGTAATCAGTTTTTTCTCTTCCATGGTTATATTTTATATTTAGATTTAGCCACACTCGTGGATCTTAATTCACCTGTCCACCTACTGCGCCTTCTTCTTTTCCAATCTCCATTTGTTCCTCTTGAAATTCAATTAATGAAACCTCTTTTTCTGCCTCTTCTTCTCTCCCTCCAAAAAATTCTGCGTAGAACAGTTCTGCTTTCTCAATTGAATCAATTCTATGTCTCTGTTCTTGCCATGTAAACATCAACCCTTCTGGGATCAGCCATCTGTAAGTCACCTCCTTTTTCAATAACATTTTGGTCAGGAATCGATATTCTCTTCTCATCTCTCTCACTCTTCTAAGTATTTATTTTAAGACCAAAATTTCTTTGCCTTTATATTTCAGCGTCTTCTCTCTTGCCGCTTGTAAAATTTGTGTCTTCATGGATTTTTTAGTAAATCTAATATGGACTTCTCTGGGCAGATTATTTTTCATTGCGTATCTTGTAAAGACTCGATATATCTCATCTATTCCATCCATCATCTTCTCTTCTGTTATTTCCAAGGCGTCCGCCAAGATTCCTATCATTATCGCAGTCAAATCTTGCCCTTTTTCTTCTTCTATATTTTGAAATCTAAGATAAAATTCTGACCTCTCCATCTCCCACTTCAGCATCCCACTTTTTTCTTGTTCAATCACTGTTAATCTGTTATCAATATTTCCAATCTTCTCCTCTCTTCGTTTACCCCCTTCTTCAACTTTTTGAAGTCTCTCCTCGTACTTTGCCATCATCTGTTGGATATTTTCCACTTTTTCCTCCATCCTCCCTGTTCTTTGTTCAATGGTGTCTGTTTTTATCTTAAGGTCTTGAATTCCTTGCATAATCATCTGTAAGGTTACTTTTTCTTGTTCTTTTTCTTTATCTTGCTTTAACATTGCCTGAATTGAACGTTGTCCAGATGGTGGGGAAGCAGAGGTGGACACAGAGGCACCCGAAGGTATAAGTTTCCTACTCATTTTAGATGGTTCCAAATCTTCAAATTCTTTCAAACTTTAATCCAATTAAAAAAAAAAGTGGCCAATTATAATCCAAAATGAAAAAATCCAGTAATAAAAAACCCAATAATAAGGGAAAAAGAAGAAAAAAGAGAAAGAGAAAAAAAATAAGAAGAATCTTCAGGTTCTTCCTGACCTTAATCCAATTATAGAGTAATCCACAAGAGAAAATAAAAATAAAAATAATAAAAAACCCAATAATAATAATAATAAGCAAGACTAAAGCCAAAAAGAAGAAAAAGAAAAAAGAACAAATAGAATAAATTTCTTCAAATTCCACACCTTAATCCAGCCAAAAAAATCTCAGTTGAGAAAAGAAAAAAAAGATAATCCACAAGTATACATTAAAAAGAAAAGCAAAAGTCCCAATGGAAAAGAAAAAAAAAATAGAATAAAAATGAAGAATTCAAAGGCTTCCCCTTGAAAATAAATAAAAGTTAAAAATAAAGACCTTACTAGAATAAAAATATAGAATAATGCTGGTGGAGGGGGTGGCGGAACTAAAGAAAAGATTAGAAAAAGAAAGTAGAAAACAATACACTGCACTCTGCTTAGTTGTCCAAGGCTCTAATTATGACTCCCTTCTCTTTCCCACAAGCTTCAAAGCTAAACCATAAATATTTAATTATAGACAAAAATCCAGAAAAGCACCTGTAATAATATTCTACAGCGTTCTTCCCTCTATCTTATCAAGAAATGTCCTTGAGAAGGAGTCTTTCACATCTCTCTCCAGTTCAAGTAAAATATTTCTGAGCCTCTAGTTGGCAGTGTTACAAAGTTTCTTAGTTCTCACTTTCCCCCCTCCTCTCAGGACAGCATGATTAAAATAAAAAAAAAGCCCGCGGGAAATATATACATATATATAAAAAGCAAAAAAGGAGAAAGAAAGAAAAAATAACCAAAGGGAGCCTCTAGCCTTAAAAAAAATTAGAATATAAAAAATCCAAAGGGAGAATAGAAAATATATATATAAAAAGGAACAGTCCGGTTATCCAGTAAATAACAATGAAGTCCGGTAGCAAAAAAAAAAAAAAGCAAATAAAGCCTCGCTTTGACGTCTCCCTTGAAAAAACGCCGCTTAATCAGTTTTGTCAAAAATCACACAGATTTCTTCTAATAATCAAAGTGTCCTTTCAAACCTCAAAAAATTAGAAAAAAAAAGTTTCTCGCCCAACCGACAGACTTTCTTTCAGACTCTTTCTTTCTGGAGCTGCCCCGACTTCAGCAGCATGGGGGCTGCCTCTCCACTGCCAGCAAAAAGAGCTGCTCCCGGGTCATCCAGGGACTTTGCGGTGTCCCCGGAGTCCACAGGATACGCTCTTCACAATAGCCGTCCCTACGGGACGGTTTAGGTCCGTTTGGACCGGCCGGAAACGAAGATATCGGCTGCAATCGAAGAGCTCGATTGCAAACCATATCGTCACGGCGCCAGCTCCTCCCAACTCCTCAATGGGCTTCATGTTTTGTTAGTATGGGCATATCATTGGGGCCCAGTCTCAAGTTCAGTGCTTGGTATCTCTGTTATGCAAAAATAATAATAATTCTAAATTAGAGGCACAAGTGCTTTCAATAATAATTTCCCCACATAAAGAACAATTGCAAGATTTGGGTTTGGCTAATCTGGGGAAAAGAGGGGCTAGGAGGACATGATAGAAGTATTCCAGTATTTTAAAGCTTTCCACAAAGTGGAAGATATTAATTTATTTTTCAAAGCACCAGAGGGCAGGACAAGAAACAATGGATGGAAACTAATCAAGGAAAAAGCAACATGGGATTAAGGAGAAATTTCCTAACAGCAAGGAACAATTTGCCTTCAGATGTTGAGGAGGTTTTTAAGAAATAACTGGACAGTCACTCATCTGAAATAGTATAGGATCTCCTGCTTGAGCAGGGTATTGGACTAGAAGACTTCCAAGGGCCCTTCCATCTCTATTCTGATTTATTTATTTATTTGCATTTAATTTTTGTTCCTAGTTATTAATTTATAACAGACTTCTTATGGCATGGGAAGACTGAATTCTAATCCCATGACCTTCAACTAGTCACACTCTCTCTCTCAGCCAAATTCATCACACAGGGTGATTATTGTGGGGAAAATAGAAAAGATGAAGATGTTCTGAATTTTTACTCTTTGAGTTGTTCATAAAAATAAAAGTGGGATATTGAATGAATAAATGAATCCAAGTTATTGTAACAATAATGTTAGTCCCAATTATTGGTACTAATACATTTTGGTAACTCTTGCCTGATAAGCATACATATTTATTTTTGTGATTTTTAAGCAAGTATTATTTTAATATGCGATTTAGATTTTTTTTCTTATGGATCAGTTTTTTTGCATTTCTTCTGACAATTTTTTAAATACATGTTTTATTCCCACCAGAAGATTTTCCTGATCATATTGTTTTTTATTTATCCTGTTTTAGATTAATGTTGTTTTGTAGACAGTGCAATAGTGTTACTTATAAGGGCAATTTTCCTACAACTTTGATTAGCTTCTAACATGCAGAAAAACAGTCACAGTGTATCTCCAATAGATTTTTGTATTAATTTTTAATATTCTAATCTTTTCTTTGGAGATACACTTTACTGTTGCATGTTGCAATGGCTGGTTGTTAAGCAAAACAGCTTCATTTAATAACCCCACAACTTGCTGTCCTTGATGCAACACGAGTCATTAAATGGAGCACAGGGTAAATTAAGGAGGGAGAGGTCTTGGGAGGTCTGCACAGGGCCAGGTTCACTTATCCCAGATCTCCCAAGGCTACCGCTATCCCATCTCGTGCTCTACTTCTCACTCCTCAGGAACCCTGCAGACCTTCAGCTTCTTCCCCACCTAGTGAAAAGGGAGGCATCTGGACCTTTCAAGCCTCCAAATGCCTTACTTAGCAAGCAAGGAGAGATTAGGCCATCCTCAAGATTACAAACTCCAGCAAGCAAGGAAAGATCAGGCTGGTCAGTGTTCGCAACTCCAACATGTAAGGGAAGATCCCACCCAGGGACTTGTAGGACTCAGCTTGCTCCAGGACCCAGTAACATCCACTCTTTGTGTTCTGCAACTTCTGAGAAAGGCACCCAGCCCAATACAGGATCAGTTTCTTACCAACCCATTCTCTTGGCAATCTCAGACTATTTTATAAGGGATTATATTTTCATTGTTTTGAGTTTCTACTTTATAATAGTTTTTTTCATTGAATTTGCAGTTTACAACAACAATAATATATTAAAGTTGTATTTCACCTGATTCTATAACTCTGGGTGTCTTATAACGAACAAAGAAATTATAGTAAAATCAATAAAGGATAAAGAATAAAGATAAAGTATGGCAAGCATACAGACCAGAAGTAATGAAGTGAAGCCTCTCACTCTCTCCTTCACCTGAGTGAGGGGCCTTTATTTTTCTTTAAAAAATGTATATGTTAAGGGAGTCTGCATGATGAGCACAAAATTTGCAAGATGTGACATCATGTTCAGAAGTTTACAGTATGCGAAGATGACATCATAGCCATCATCTTGCAGGTTTTGCCTTTCATCTACAGTAGACCAGGCAGTTAATGTTTTCTATTTCAGAGATATATAATAAAATATTAATTAATCTTTTTGCAAATCAAATATTTTCATTTATTGATTTTGAATACTTTGATATTTCATGCTGACTTTTTCTTTCAAGGATGATAAAATTAAATCTCTGCTGTCACAACTCCTTTGCTATGATAATCGGATGACTGCAGAACAGGTGTTGAATGCCGACTGCTTCTTGTCACCTGAACTGATTTCAGTTCCACTGGAAAGTGAAGGCACTGACTATGACCATGGAGAACAGAGATCAGAAAAAGACGTGTCTGATGAAATGCTGGACAACAAGAGTGAAACTTCATTAGATAAAGATTCAGATGGGTATATGATTGATCAGAATGCAAATTCAAAATAAATAAGATCAGGGTAACCTATTGATCCCAAAATAGCCTTTTCAGCTTTATGATAGTTAAAACACCAGAAGATAACAAATGTATTGTACCCTGAAAGGTTATATAAATATATTTTATGTTGTGGTATTCTGTATCTTTTAAACAAATGTGATATATATCTAGTGCTTGACTTCAGTTATATGACTGTTAAAAAATTTTTAATTGACTGTCAAGTATTCTTTCCATTTCTAGAATTGAAAAACCATAGCATAGGGATCGAAGCTTCACATGTTATCTTAGAGAATGCCAAAATTATATTCTTTAACCTAATCAGAACTAATTAAATTAGTTAAGATCAGAGTATCCATAAATTAATAACTGGTGTTGTTTTGGACATTAAAGTTGCTGAATTATTTGTAATTCTAATTTCTTGTGTTCAGTTGCATGTCTGATTTTAGAATAACAATATTAAAGTATCTGAATAAAGTGTTGAAGCAAATATGTTGTGATATTTGGATAAACTGATTTATAAATTAGAAGAAGTTAGAGAAGTTGATCTTAAATTTATATATTTATTATATTATACATTTATAAGAGGTGAATCTTTTGCAGCATGAGGCTGCAATTCCCCACTAGATGGAGGTCTTGGCTTTTAAGCAGCAGAACTGAATTGAAGTACAGGTGGTGAAATGCTGCTTTTGACTCTGGTTCAAGTTAACTGGTTGCATATATTACTATTTAAAGAATTTACAAAACAATTTATTCTGTGAAAAATGAAAGGCTGTCTCTAAATTTGTAAATAGGTAATTCTTTTGTTTACTTGGAGGCTGTAGGGTTGTATCTTGTTCAATTTCTGCTGAATTCTCAATTCTTTAAAAAAAATTGAATATAGTTTTTGGTTTTAGTCATGATATCCTATAAAAATCTCATGGTATCTATAGGAAAGGCATCTTGGTTATTCCATTTAAAAATATATATAATCTAGTCTAAGATAAGAGTGAGGGAATAAGACACTTTATACAAAAGCAAATAGCAAGACACTTAACAATTGTTTTCTATGAACTAGTACTTAATAATATTAGAGTTTGCAGATTACAATTAAATCTTACAGAATGAATTCGATGTCAGGTAAATTATGGCATAGTATAATACCTAGTCAAATATTGGACCTCTTTGGTATCATAACCTGCATAAGGTGGCATGTCTTCTTTGTAAACATGAAACTGAATTTTTCCGCTTCCAAATGGACTAATCCAGTGGTGGTTAACCTTTTTGGGCTCCTGTGCCAAAAATTGCGAGCGCACCAGCACGCCCATACTCCCGTGCCAATACCCAGAATGCAATGCACACGCCCCCCTCTCCACGCTCCCTGTGCATGTGCACACAATCCCCACCCTGTTACCACCACTGCGCTTCACAGCAGATTTTTGGGCTGGTTTGAGGCCTTTTTCGGCCTCCCAGTGGCTTGGAAAAAGCCTCTGCAAGGCTTGACAGGCCAAATTATAGGCCTTTCATCACTTCCAGTATTACAGGAAGTGACGAAACGGGCCTATAATTCGGCCTGAGAAGCCTTTTTCCAAGCCTCTGCGAGGCTGAAAAAGGCCTCAAACCAACTGAAAAAAATCCGCTGTAAGGCATGGGCATGCCTAGTGAGGTAATTTTGCCTGCTGCTTGTGTGCCAGCACAAATGGCTCTGCGTGCTACTTGTGGCACACGTGCCATAAGTTTGCCATCACGGGACTAATCCATTTGGATTTCATTTTGTAGAAATGCAGGAAGCTTTCCTTGTCCCTTCTTAGCACTTCAGAGACAATACCAATCCTTAAAATACCTCTGTAAGAAAAACTGCAGTGTCTGAAGCAGTGAAATAAGCAGTCACAGAACACTAATATGGCAAAACTGAGTTAATGATTAAATATTTGCCGCAGAAATAGAAAAAAAAATCTGTCGTGTTATTTTTCCTGTCACTGCAAAAAAATTTGAGAAGTACTGAGTACTGATTAGCATTGGAACACTCAATACTTTTTCAGCAGACAAGTTTCATCCAAGTTTCTGAATAACTTATTTCTATCTATAGACAGTACATTAGAAGTACAGAAATCATATGCTGCAAATTATTTTTTTGGAATGTATTTGGAATAGGGAAAATGCATTTCCATCAAAATAATTTTTGCATAGAAATTATTACTCCAATCCCTCTGCAAACGAAGTTTGTTTAGATCAGGTGTCAGCAACCTGTGGCTCCTGAGCCACATGCGGCTCTTTGACCCCTCTCCTGCAGCTTCCTGCCCACCCGATTGTGTGATCTGCTCTCTTCACCCCAAGAAGGCACAAGCCTTTATGCAGAGTTGACAACTGAAGCATCCCTAGCATTTTCTTCTCACTGCCCGTGACCAGCTGCTTTTTGTGATTCTGCATCCTTCGTGGGTAGCTCAGCACCAGCTGTGGTCCCCTTTGTGTTGGCTCAGGAAAGAGGGGAACGGGTAGGAGCAGCTGGCGCCAGATGCAGGGAGGGAAGAGCTCCGGCTCTTTTCCTGCACAGCACGGCCAGCTATCTACCAGAGCGTGCAGTTGCATCACCAGGAGGAGTTGCTACCACAGTGATCCTGCTCCAGGAAGGTATCCCGCTTGTGCATGTGAGTGTACGCGTGTATGAGAGAGAAAATGGGGGGCAATGAAAAAATGGGATTGAAAATGGGGAAAAAGAGAGAAAGAGGGGAAGAGAAAATTAAGAGCTGGAGGGAAAGAATGAGGGAAAAGATGGAAATAAGGAGAGAAGAGGGAGAGGGTAAAGAAGAAGATAAAATGATAAAGGGAGAATGAGGAAAAAGAGAAGGGAGAGAGAAGTATGAGAACTGGAGGGAGAAAGAGGGAAAAGGGAAGTAAATGAGAGGAGGAGAGGAAGAAAGGAAGAACTCTCAGACCTATGATGAAAGCTAGATCTCTTGCCAAAAAAGGTGCAGTTTGCCAAAAGGCACAAGTTGTAAGCAAGTTTGATTTATTTTTTTAAGGAAATAACAAATGGCAAAAATGCATCTGAAAATAAGATAATTTTGGATAATGTATTATCAAACTAAAAAAAATCAATACATATATGCTATTGCTATTGGTACAATCTTACCAGCTTCTTATCAACTTTGAGTTCACTGTGAAAAGATTAGGGAGAAGCAATTTCCCGCAATAACTTTATTTGGTATTTGCTATTGTATTCAACGAGAAAAAGAAAAAAAGAGGGAAAGGAAAGTAAGAGGGAGAAGGAAAAAAACTAGAAAGGAGAGGGAGGGGGAGAGAGAGAGCACATTATTTCCCACAGAAAATACCAGGAGCCATGAAATCTGGGTAGACGTGGCTGGAGAATCATGATACTGGGTGGGAGTGATGTTGAGCTGGCCACACCCACTCAGGTTTTGTGGGTCCCAGTGTTTTCTGTGGAAATAGTGCGCTCTCTTGGCTCTGGAGTGTTTAAGGTTGCAGACCCCTGGTATAGACAATTAGATCCACAATGTTTCCAATTTTTCTGATAGATAAATAACATTTCAGATTGTATAGTACAGATTAATAATTATGGCTTCAAGATCAATGAACTGGGAACTAGAACAATTTTATTTAGATATTTTCAACACACAATTTCTATGAAATGGTCACATGCCAATATCCATTTTAAAAAGGTGTTTAATATAAATAATGAGGTATTTTTAAAATTTCTGTAGTGTATTGAAGTAGTGATACTTAATATTACCATTATGGCCCAGTTTGAAGTCCATGTCAGTGTTTCTCAAATTTAGCAAGTTTATGATCTTAGCCAGCTTTGGTTCTAAGCATAGTAGGAATTGTCAGCAATCATTCTCATTGAAGGCATTTAGATAAGTAATTAAAATCTGTTTCTGGAAATCAATTGTCTAGTATGTTTTCCATAAAGATGGGAAAAACTTTTTTGTGAAACAAGCAGAAAATACATTATTCTTCATCGGTTAATTATTAATGTTCACCAAAATCAACTGAATTATGATTTTAATTAAAGGATTTGTTAATGTTTGTTTTGTTTAGACCAGATACTTTGACTGCTTCCGAATCCCTTCTGATGGAATCCATTTAGACATAGAAGCTAGGCTTAATAAATATTGCCAACAATAAATGAATAATCCTGAATGCAAGAAATGTGGAATAGAGAATCGGAGTCTGTATGACAAAACCTAGACTGCTTGAGTCTTAGCATTAAAAATGTTTCTTGTATAAAAATATTAATTTAACAAAAACCTTTAAAATGCTTTTTAAAATGTGGTTAATATCCTTTTTTTGGACATCCCAGAAAGCTGCAACAGCTCCACCTGATAAAGTTGAGCAAGGACCCTTCTGGCACAGTTCCCATTGCTACTTTAGTAAGAGTTGCGAATCTAAGAGGACTGCCAAGTCATGGATCTGATCCTTCAGGAATAAGTCAACCCCATCCACTCGCTACTGTGACATTAGCTGGGACAAGTATTTACAAATCTATTCAGGTTTTGACAAAAGTCATATGCAGGAGTAACCAAAGCAGTCCCTTACCAGGCATGAAACCTAATTGGTAAGAATTCACAATCCATTTCCCCTAGGGCAGAGGTGTCAAACAAGATTTTTTTTCCCAATACATTTTTTATTTCTTTAAATACATCTACTTTAAATATAGGTCTTTTAACATTTCAAAGCAAACATGACCATAATTACATATTCCTGTTATTTATTGACTTTATTGTTTGATTTCATATCATTACCTATTACCCTTTTTTCATTCAATATTCTTATGTGTATCAATCTTTATTCTTAATATCATTCATGTAAAAATTTTTCTTTGAATTATTTCCTTTCTGTTTAAATTTTAAAGGTTAAATTCTGTATGTTTCCCAAATTTTTCTCTATCGCTGCTAGTCCAGTTCTTTGTAAGATCTCTTTCCTGTTATTTTTATCAGGATTACCTTTTGTAGTTCAAAGTATTTTCACCCAGTCTATACACCAGTCACTGCTTCTTCGCTCCAGCACTGCCTCCATCTTCATGGCAGGCATTTTGGCTACCGCTATAGTTTGTCTTTGGAGGGGTTTTCATTGCCAGGGAGAAGAGATGCGGTCCCCCTTCACCTCTCCAGGGTGGTTCTGGTCTTGATAAGAACCCTCCAACAAGGAGAGCTCGAAGCAAAGCTGCAGATGATCACAGACCTCACTCCGACTGTGATGTTGTGTCAAATTAGATTTCATTGAGGGCTGCATCAGAATTGTGTTTAACCTTGGGGGGCTGAGGTGGGTGTGGCTGGGGTGGGCATGGCCATTTTGACATCACTCATATTAGGGGTGCCTGTGGTGGCCTGAGCACTTTGCAAGAAAAAATGGGCTGAGCTCAGTTTTCGGGTGCAACAGCCTGCTGCAACCCTCTGCCAGTGAAAATGGAGATTGGAAGTGCTACCAATGGCCCTTGCAAGTTCCATTTTTGGCTGCAA